AGTGCCGCGCCGCTCCCGCACCCGGCCCGCCTGCTCAGCCCGGCGGGTCCCCAAAGAGAGGGGTGCATCCCCACCCCTTCCCCCCTCCCCTCATCCTGGGGGCAAAAAGCAATGATTTCCATTCCTCATCCTCCCCTCGGAGCGCAAGGGGCAGCGGGGAGGTGGCCTGAGCCCACGCACCTGTCCTACGGGCCCGTGATCGGCGGTGGCAGCTCATAAGTCCGAGTCGCTGCCACTTGGTCCCCGCTTCTCCCCGCCGCGTCCCGCCCGTGGCCGCCCAGCAGCGACGGCTAACTGCGCCTGCGCGTGCGCCGGGCCCCCCGGGGGGGGGGGGGGGGAACAGCGGCGGCGGGCGAGCCGCGCGCACCTGCTCCGCGGGCTCAACCGCCCGGCCCAAGCGGGCGGGCGGGCTGCGCGGGCTCGGCCCCGGTCCCGGGTCGGGTCCCGGGTCCGCAGGGGAGGGCTTCTTGACGCCACCTTTCCCTCCCGCCCTGCGCCTGCCCTTTCTGCAAATTGCGGGGTTCTGCCTCCTGGAGCGCATCTTAGGGTCCTGAGTCCCAGGTGCATCAGGTTTGCGAACAGCACCCAGGCTGTTCCTGCAGGTCTTTAGGGCAGGGGAGGTGACCGGGGGTCCCCAGGAAGGCGTCCTATTCCGTGTGCATAGTGACTATACATATGTTAGATGTTAACGTAATAAATGCATTGTCGTGTGTTTTGGTTTTTTTTCTGAAACACTCTTATGAATTGCTAACATGTATTGTACTTGCTGTACTCTTAAGGGTTTTATAAGATCTTTGCTAGTAACCTTCACAACCATTCATCTTAAAGAAACTGAAGATCATTTGCTTGCCAGAGTAAATATGGAGATATCAGGGTTGAAATTTAGGCCCGTCTCTTTCAGAACCTGTAGTTTCAACTAGCACACTAAACATAAAAATATAGCATAAATGTACTACTGATTCCCACCCCCCCCTTTTTGTTTTGGCCCCTAGGTGTTGGATCATGTAGCTTTTACTACTTATGTTTCCTAGAAAAATCTGGACTTTGAATTGGCTATAATCGTGATTGAATTTTATTGGAAGAAGAAAGTATTTATTGACTAGTGATGCCCCTCTTAAAGAGTCTCAGACTGAGCTTGATGGTGATCCGTGCACAATCTGCAATGATTGGCTAGGCGTCAGCGTCAGGGGACATTTTTCACGATGCATCAGTAATAAGGCTACCAACTCTAGACTCTTGATGCTGTTACCTTTTGGAGTGTGTTTGGATAGTGTTTATTGATTATTTTTTAACTTGAGGTACTTTATAGTGATATTTCTTTCTTCAGTCCTTCCAACTTTTATTATTCAGCATAATTCTGTGGCCCATAACCAAGACAATTATACTTGCTGGAAATAATTCCTAAAGGATATATTCAAAGTTTGCAACGAAGAAGCTGAAAACTAAAAATTCTTGCCGTATTTCTGACCTCAGTGCAAATGATTCTACTATTTTTCCATTAAGTAAGAACCATCTTTAGGATGAGGCATGTATATTTTATCTATGATTGCCAGTTTAGCAAATTAAAATACAGGATACCCAAGGTTCTAATTTGATATCGACAAATAATTTTAGTACATACAGTTCCATATGTGTAATTTATCTGGCAATTTTAATTTTATCGTGTTAAGGAAGTATCTATTAATTGCAATTTTATTTAATTTTTTATAGGAAGTAGCTGTTGAATTTTTAAAAGGCTTTTTAGCATCTGTGTAGGTAATCATATTTTTCTCCTCAGACACATTAGTATGGTATGCTCTATTAACAAGTTTCCTAACAGAATCCTAATCTGATTCTTGCACTACTGGTTTAAACACACACACACACACACACACACACACACACACACACACACACACCAGGTTATGATGTATTATTTTCCTACTGGTTTGGAAATCTACTTCTAATATTGCATTTAAAATTTTTATATCAATTGCCATAAATGATATTGGCTTTCTTTTTTTGCTTCCATCAGGATTAGGTATTCATGAGATACCTACTCATTATAATTTGTAAAATTTTTCATTATTTGCTATATTCTGAAACAAATTTAAAATATTGGGACTACCTGGTTTTTAAAAGTACTTGAATCTCCTGTGCAACTATCTAGGTCTGGTACCCCTTTGTGCTTTTCTTCTTATTTCTCAAAAGCTCTTCTTCTTCTGTGAATATTGATTGGTTTAAGCTTCTCTCTCCACTTGCATCAATTTGGGCAAAAAAATTACTCATAAAATACACACTAATACCAGCAAAACAAAAACCTATTGGCTCATACAAACTTTCTCATATAATTAATTGCCTTTGGTTGGCTGTTAATATCAAGACACTATCTAAAAATAGATTTTAAGGTAATTAAGGGGGGGAAAGCATAGGATAGTTTTAATGGGAAAAGCCTGCCCAGATTTAGTCCCCATTATATATTTATATAAAAGCCCAATGACTGGAAAGGTAGAACAACCAGAATGACCAATGGCTATGACATGCACTGCGGCAGCCTACCAGCCTGATCTGGGCACCAAATGCAAATCCCCCCCCCAGCTGCCCTGACCCCCAATTAGCCCCCAACACCCCAATCAGGGGCATTGCCAGACACTAACCGCCCTCGACACCCCCCTCCAAGGACCTGGCTGGATGGGTTCCCATCAGGGTGGGCTGGCCAGACCTCACCCATGCATAAATTCGTGCACTGGGCCTCTGGCTTGTTCATAGTTATTGCAATTCTGCCAGAGGGTGGAAGGTCCAGTTAAGAGTACATAACAAACTCCAAGATAGTTTTACACATCCAGGTGAGTAGAGGGTTTCTCTTTCCCTTCTACCATGGGTGTGACCACATTTACAATTGCGACTACTATTAGTATTATTACCACATGACTACTTATTTCAGTTGTAAATAGTGTTGTAGACTTATCTCAATACCTGAGAGACATTTGGGCAACAGAATTTCAATTATGTCTCAATGTTTGCAGAACTTCTTTTTACTTGAAAAAAAAAAGGTGTTTAAGAAAAAAAGATTTCACTAAATCTGGTTTGAATGTGGTTTTTACAAACTTACTTGCTATAGTGAGTCAGAAGCTTAAACATAATTTGCCTTCGTGTGTAGGTTTGAAGAAAAAGTATTTCTAAGAAGCAAAGTCAGTATGAAAGTTATAACCAAATGCCCAAACCAACCAATCAGCACTGTTTACTCTGCTATATCCTAGATGAGTGTCCAAAGCTCTCCAAACCTCTCCTCCCTCTGACCTCAGACCAGAGGCCCTGGGTGATCCTCAAACACCCAGCATTTGGGAACAGTGGGGATGGGAATGGAAGCGGGGACATCCCCCCTGGTCACATTAGGAAGAGTTTCTAGAAATGCTTTGTGCTGACCACCACAGCTCTTATTCTGCAATCAGTCCATTAAGACAGCAGCTATGGGGTTAATCTTTAAGGCTGTCTTTTAACTTCTTTTTTTTCCCTTCTAGCATATGCCACTTTTGGGTATTTTGGTCAGCATTCAAATGCCTCTTTCTGAGCACCAAAGCAGCATTCCTTTGGAATCACCTCAGCTTTTCAGTCACAGTCAGTGATATGTCAGACAGCATCCTTTAACACTGTCCCACTTTATGGTCCCACCCCTTCAGGAGTTTTGAGTCTTGGGTGGTAGACTAGGAAGTCCAAGTAGGCACCTTTTCAAGGAATGTTGACATCTTTTCAAAAAATGCTGTACCTGGACTTAGCTTTAATTTTTTCACACTAGCTTGAAATATGCTCTGGCAAATTTAATTTTAAAAATTCACAATTTAAGTCAAATTAAAATTTATTTTAACATACATATAGTGTTTTTTTCACTCCCCCTCACCAGCTTTGAGATATAACTTCTATTCCTCTACAAGGCGAGAATGAAATGGACACACGAACAGTTCATCTTGCATATTCTCTTTATACATTGATATGTAATACACTTCATACTGAGATAAATGTGCTTTTTTGGCACATAAGGATAAAATAGCAGTATGAATTAAGATTTTCATACTTGACTAAAACTCAATAGAATAACAAAAAGAATAGGAGATCTTTATAGACTCCTATAAGAAACTGATGGACCAGGTAGACAAAAATTAGTAAGGACTCAAAAGACTTGAACAAGTACATTTAAAAGGCTGACATAAGGGAGTCCTGTACACAATAAATAGGAATATTTTAAGAATACATCTTAAAAGCATAATACATTTATAAAAACAAATTAATGCAAAATATTTTAAAATACATATAGAGACTATACATCTCAAATTTTTATGAAACGTAAGAATTCAAAAACAGTTCTCAAATTTTATTACAGAAAGTTCTCTAACAATGTAATTAAATAAGCAACCAAAAATAAAATGTGGCAAATCAATATATACTTTTAAAAACTCATACACATTCCCAAATAACTAATGAGTTAAAAAGGTAATAAGAGACAGTATGAAGTCTTTCTTTTTTTAGAACTGAATGACTATCAGAATATATACATATCAATATGTTTGATAATCAGATCAATGGCATTTAGGCATAACTTTATCAGACGTTGGCTTGCTTCAACTTTTGCTTTCTGTTTCTTTAGATGTCTTAATAAAATGTATTAGGACATACACCAATTCATACTGAATGTCAAGTTTCTGAACTTTTAGCTATTTATTGAGATTATGTAATAGCATCACTATCTATGTCAACAAAATACATTTCTCAATTTTTAAAAGCTTCCATGCCTTTACTATTTTAATATTAAATTTTAAGAGTACAAACATCATAAAAAATGTTCTAATTTTTCTAGACATAAGGGATGTTTAATACTTTCAATTCCAGTAGTTTGTTCAGTTTTTTTCCTTTTCTATATAATTATATACTTTCATTATTACAATGTCTGACATATGCCATTTAGAAAGCACAGTTTCTGAGGTCCCAAGGTATTACAGAGTTTCTTCTTGTTATGATTATTAGCTTCATATTTCCTGAAATACAAATAACAAATCTGTAAATAATGTTGTAATGAACATAGGGGTGGATATATTCTTTCAAATGGAAGCAACCTAAGTGCCCATCAATAGACAAGTGGATAAAAAAAGCTGTGGTCCTAAATACAATGGAGTTTACTTGGCCATAAAAAAGAAATTTTACCATTTGTAACAGCATGGGTGTACCTAGAAAGTGAAAGAGGTCAGTCAGACAAGTGTTGGCGAGGTTTTGGGGAGAAAGGAACCCTCGTGCACTGCTGGTGGGAATGTAGACTGGTACAACCACTGTGGAGAACAGTATGGAGTTTCCTCAAAAAACTGAAAATGGAACTCCCATTTGACCCAGTAATCCCACTCCTAGGAATATATCCCAAGAAGCTAGAAACACCAATCAGAAAGGATATATGCACCCCTATGTTCATAGCAGCACAATTTACAATAACTAGGATTTGGAAACAGCCTAGGTGCTCATCAGCAGATGATTGGATCAAAAAACTATGGTACATCTACACAATAGAATACTATGCTGCCATAAAAAAGAAGGAATTCTTATCATTTGCAGCAACCTGGATGGAATTGGAGAACATCATGCTGAGTGAAATAAGCCAGTCAATGAAAGAGACACCACATGACCTCACTCATTTATGGATAATAAAGAACATTATACACTGATGAACAAAAAGATAGATACAGAGACAGTAAAGCAACAAACAGACTGTCAAATTATAGCGGGGAGAATAGGGAGATATGGGGGAGATAAGAGATCAACTGAAGGACTTGTATACATGCATATAAGCAAAACCAAACGAAAAACTCGGGGGGGGGGGCATGGATGGGAATAGAAGGGGCAATGGAAAGATATGTACACATATAATAAAAAAATAGCAAAATTTTTTTTAAAAGAGGTCAGTCAGAGAAAGACAAATACCATATGATTTCACTCACAGTACTTGTGAAATCTAAAGAACAATATAAATGAACAAATCAGAAAAGACTCAAAGATACGGAGAACAGACTGATGATTGCCAGGCGGGAGGGGTATTGGGGTGATGGGTGAAAAAGGTGAAAGGATTGAGAATTACAGATTGTAGTCACAGAATAGTCACAGGGATATAAAGTCCAGTATAGGGAATAAAGTCAGTAATATCATATTAAGTATGTACAGTGCCAGGTGGGTACTGGAAATATCGAGAGGAACACTTTGTAAATTATATGATCATCTAACCACTATGCAGAACACCTGAAACTAAAACAAAATAATATTGAATGTAAACTATGATTTTAAAAATTATAAAACTGTAACATCTAGAAATATTAATTCAAGAGGATGAAATTATTTTCATGATAAATACTTGATTATATTCTTTCATTTTTCTGTCCTTTTGACACCTATTAAATAGAGAAAATTACATTGGCAGAAAATATAACTCTTGAGATATATGAGACAATGTCAGTTTTAATATTGCCTTGGTGTTAAAATAATTCAAAGTAGATTTCCACCACTGGGAAATCTGTATTGTTTGATTGTTATTACAGCCAACAAACTGCTCTAGATAAGATACAAATATTTTAAACCTCTATTTTATTTTATTTTTACAATTTAAAGTATCAATAAAGAAAATATTTAGGGAAACAACAAGAAAATACAATAATCTTTTAACAGAAATATAGGAAAGAAAACTAGAGAATAAATGTAAAATGAGGAATGGAGAAATAATGCTGTGAATATAAGATAAGTATTATATTTCCATAAAACTAGTTTTGGATTTTTTTGTTCACCAAAGAGGGGCGGGGGAAACTCACAATGAACCAAAGGAACCCTGACAATTCTCTGGCAAAGAATTTCTGTTTTCTAATTCCAAATTCTAAGAGAAAATTGTCACATGTGACTTTACATAAGAGAGACATAAAACTTTAACAGTTTTAAAGAAAATGCAAACATTCCATATGTCATTGGTTAATACATGTCAAGGGCATAAACTTATAGCTCCCTCCATCACCTCCAACTATGTTTAGATTTAGCAACAATAACAAAACAAATGTATTGCGTGCACACACACACACAAACACACACACAAACACAGTCAATACTTAACTGAAATTCAAAGTAACTGTAAGTTCTTTACAGTATATCTCCAACAGATGGAAATACTTTGCCTTTTGCCCAGAGCAATGCAGTAAAAGGCAAATTACTTGTCATATGGGAGGAAGCAAACGCAAATTATACTAATTCAACTGCTTCCACTGCAGTAAAAGGAAAATGACTTCTCACGTAGGAGGAAGCTTATCAAATTATATAAGTTCCACTGCTTTCAGAAAGTATTGGTACTAAAATATTTTAGTTGTTTCTAAAAGAAATTTTTGGAAGTTTATTATAGGTGTAGAAAATAAAATAATAACGAACCTTTAAATTGAAAATGGGCAAGATTTTTACATTTCAGAAACTAAAAAAAAAAAATTATCACTAAGATAAAGTTTGTTTCATTAAATTATTTTTGTAATACAAAGTAGATCAACTATTTTTTTTCTGCTTATTAAACTATAGCTTACATTTAAAAGGTTTTTTTTTTTGAGACATGTAATATATAATTTAACTGGCTAGGGAAAAACTTACATAAAGTTGTGTTTAAAAAAAAAGAAGACTGAATTATGGAATGAATATTAAGGAAAACATAAGAAAAATGTTGGTCCTAAATAAAGAAAAGAGAAAGATAATCTCTATGGGCCCATAAGTAAATCTTATTTTACTTAATAAAAATGAATTTTTTAAAAAGCTGTCCTGGCCAGGTGGCTCAGTTGGTTGAAGCACTATCCCATGTACCAAAGGGTTTCAGGTTTGATTTCTGGTCAGGGCACATACCTAGGTTGTGGGTTTGGATCTCCCCACCCTGGTTGGAGCATGTATGGGAGCCAACTGATCAATGTTTCTCTCTCACACCAATGTTTATCTCTCTCTACCTCTTCCTCTCTCTCCTAAAATCAATGAGCATATCTTCAGGTGAGGATTAGAAAAAGAGAAGTTTAAAACTGAAATGAAATATCCAAACTCTTGGTTCAAGATGGTGGGTGGCTAGACCTCAATGAAATGACAGTAAATGCATTAAAAAGATGAAACTCCAAAGGGTCAAGGATGCAGGGAGACTCTTACCCTAGGAGACCTTTCATCAAACTGATGAGAGAGATAAACGTAATGGGAGAGAACGGACCGGCAAAGAGGGGGATGAGGAATCTGTGCCTAGACACATGGTTGGGAGCTACAGTGGAGATGACAGATTTGGTAAAAGATGAGAGTAAACTGGGTAAACTGTGAGAATAAAATGAGAGTCTGTGTCAGAAGCATTGACTATCCAAACCTAAGCAGCCAGGACTTTATGGCTCAGGCAACGCACACACACCCAGGCTTCTCTAACCAAAGTGGAATGAGCCATCTGATAAAACCAAAGCAGGCACCTGTGCCCAGAACAAAGCACCCTGCATCCTGGCACGCTGGTGCTCCTTCTCTCAAACCACTAGGCAAACACACACACACACACACACACACACACACACACACACACACACACACACAGCAACCTAGCCACTTAAGTACACTAGTACAGTTTGCAAACTAACAAATTCTACCTATATGCCAAAACTTCCTAGGAAGCCTCCTTCATTCTTACATTTTTATAAATAAATATGAGGATAAGTGTAGTGTGGGGAACAGGGAAGAGAAGAAAATTTACCCATATTGCCACCACTCAAAATTGACCAATATTAACATCTACAATAATAAAAGCATAATATGCTAATTAGATAGGACAGCCGAAAGACCTTCTGGACATCATTCCAGTCGTCCTTCCTGATGAAGCTATGGTGGTGGGTCTGAGGCAGAAGTGGTTAGGGATGATCAGGCAGGCATGCAGGGGTAGTTAGGGGTGATCAGACAGGCAGGTGGAGTGGTTAGGGGGGATCAGGCAAGCAGGCAGAGGGGTTAGGGGTAATCAGGCAGGCAGGCAGGCAGGCAGGCAGGCAGGCAGGCGAGCAGTTAGGAACCAGCAGTCCTGGACTGTGAGAAGGAGCAATCTTGGCTGAGGGACACCTCCCCACCCCCCCCCCCGTGCATGAATTTTGTGCACTGGGCCTCTAGTTTTCTATAAGCTCATTAAAATTCAACAGACAAACATGAATCACTACATATCTGAGAAAGCATGTGACAGAGGAAAATAAAAATAAACAAGCAAACACTCTTAAGGAAATGAAAGGGCAAGCCATAGCATAATGTGTCAGAGATTCATCCATATTGTTGTATCTATTGATACAAATAAGGCCTTAAACTCAGATCTATTGTCTCCAAATTCACTGTACATCTACGGTACACGATAAAAAAGGGAAAGGAAATACTGATTGATTCTTCTAAAATAGAATATTATGGAGTGTATCAGAAAATTATATGCACAGCCTGGTCACATGTGGTTTGGATTCCTGGTCAGGGCCCATGCCCCAGTTGCAAGCTCTATCCCCAGTAGGGGGAGGGGAGCATGCAGGAGGCAGTTGATGGATGATTCTCTCTCATCACTGATTTCTCTCTCTCTCTCTCTCTCTCCCCCTCTCCCTTCCTCTCTGAAATAAATTTTAAAACATTATTTAAAAAGTTATATGTATTATACAAAACTCTAATACACAGAATATAAAATATGATTAACATCTGAAAATATTCTATATAGTTATACAGTATATCATTTCTATACTTACCAGTTTATAATTGAAGATTTAACTTTTTAAAAATATGACATAGTTGCTTATCCACTATGAAGAAGGTTGGAAAATAGTCTAATCTTTGTTATGCCATTTTTTTCCGAAGAATTCTGATCATTATAAAAGATGTTAGGATTATGTAACTCCTAATAGTAGATATCCTGTTATAAATTAAAAAATAATTTAAATATAATCATTTTGACATAGGATTAAGATATTACATATTCTTATTTATTTTATGTGGTATGGAATACAAAAAAAGAAAAAAAAACTAAGATTATAACATCAAAAAATTAGAGATTAGATTTACATTCTACTGAATCTGTTGTGAATTTACAAAGGTAAGATTAAAATATCTTACTCGGCAAAAAAAATCCTATATAGTAAAGAGCTAATATGCTAATTAGACTGAACAGCAGAACAGCCATCTTGATGACCTTCCGAATGAAGCCAGGGCTGCTGAGCCCCTTACATTGGGCCTCTAGTATATATATATATAATGGGAGAAAAATATCCCATTATATCGATAACAGCACCAACAAATAGAATGGCAAAGGCTAACTTCTTTCTGCATCATCTATGGCTATGTTTCATGTATTTTGATGGTATTACTTTTTACATAAATATTCCTAACAGTTAAATTTTCATTATCCCTGACACTTGTCTTGTTTAACCAACACTTTGTATCTTGAATTCCACCTTCCCTGATAGCTAATAGCTAACATTTACTGAGTTTACACTGTGATGGTTAAAGCATAATAAAGATATTTAACCATATAATAAACACACAATGAAAGAGAAGGTGGAAAGAATGTCATAAATAATTGATGAAATGATGGGAGGATAGAGATGTGCCTTTCTCTCAATTCAACTAAGGATTAAAGCAACCATTCGCTTTGCTGTGTGCAGACGTGTCAATAGTATTTCAAATACAAAAGAAATCTGAAGGATTATCTCATTTAAACTCCTTGTTTATAGGTGAAGAGAGCTCACAGGAGCGGTAGGCCTTGCCCAAAACCATATGAACAGGCACCATAACTAAAAACGCAGTGTTTTGACTCTGAAGTCTTTGCTTCTTCCACCCCACCAAGACGCTGAAGTCAATTACAAGTTGTTTCCAAAAAGAAGGAAAATTTACAAATGACTAAAAAACAAACTGCTGAATTTTTGTTTATCTGGTAAATAGTGGCCTGAAATAAGAATGAAAATACATTTGAATTTAATAGCAGAAGCATTTTATTTTGAAATATTCTTATATAATTTTTAATATTATTTCATTTAAAATAACAAAATAATTAACTTTATGATTTTTAAAACACTGTTTTAGTCTTACTCTTTAAATTGCACAGCTGGAAACAGTGAGGCAAAGTGTACATAGGCTGAATTTTCCAACCATGATAGATAACTTGGGTCTTGAAAAGATGATTGGTCTTCACTATCTATAGTCTGGCATAAGATGAATTGTAGCTAAATAACCATATTTCACAGTCTCGCTCATGTCTGATCACTTCTTTTCTAAATAATAGCTTATAAGTTCATGAAACATTTTTTCTTTTTCAATTACCATTTCAAAATCTTACTTTTAAATATTGTTTAGTTCCATGATGTGATGACTGTATGCCCACATGCTGGAAAAGGGAAGGTCTATATTGAATACGAATTTGCTTATTTCTTTCTACACATTTCTCCTGGGGAAAAAGAGAAACAATAATCTTTGCTTAAAACTCACATACTCTTTTTTAAAATATGTTTTTATTGATTTCAGAGAGAGGAAGGGAGAGGGAGAGAGAGATGTATCTCTCCTTGATCAGCTGCCTCCTGCACACCCCCTACTGGGGATCCAGCCCACAACCGGAGCCTGCGCCCTAAAGGGTACCATGACCTCCTGGTTCATAGGTTGATACTCAACCAATGACCCACACCATCCGGGCCTCAAATACTTCTTTTTATTGCATTTACTGATAGAAATATCTTTATTATGCTTTAGCCATCAGCCTATATTAAATTTTTAAAATTTTAACAAAACATTTAATTCTTAGCTTTTTCTTCACAGGAATGACAGAACAAAAGAGTTGAAATACAAAAGGGCTTTAATTAAAGCAAGTATTTTCATGAACTCTATCTTAGAGAGCCAGGCTATTGTACCAAGTACAATCTTCCTCCCCACCCACCCCCGCCCTATCTGCATGACTTCCAGTGGATACCTAAAACCACAAATAGTACTAAACCCTATATATACTATGTTTGTTCTTATACATGCATACCTCTGATAAAGTTTAATTTCTAAATTAGGCACAGTAAGAGATTAACAATAATAACTAATAAAATAGAACAATTATAAAAACTTACTGGAATAAAAGTTATGTGAATGTAGCATTATTAAATAAAATAAGGATTAACTGAACACGATACTATGAAAGTGGATCTGATAACTGAGCTGACTCCTAAGTGACTAATGGGAAGAAGCATATACAAGGTGGAGATGCTGGACAAAGGGCTGGTGCCGTCCTGGGGGGGACGAATCTGGACAGCGCAGGGTTTCATCACACTACTCAGAAGGTGTGCAATTTAAAATGTATGAATTGGTTATTTTTGGATTTTCCATTTAATATTTTTAGATTGTGATTGACCTTGGATAACTAAAACCCTGAGAATTAAAACCACAAATAAAGGGGAGATACTGTATAATTTTCCTCTCCCTTTCTCTTTATTCAAAACATAAATGAAGTTTTTGGTGTTTTCCTACCTTTCTATTTCCCTCAGACTACATTATTCTTTCTCTTCCCATATTCATTAATTCCTACACTAAATTGTACCATCTCGGTTTTTTTTTTTTTAAATAGTAGAAAGTGTAGGATTAAAACGAAGCCAATATTATAGTTAATGAAAAGAGATTTGGATAATCTCCTTAAAAATAAAAATAAGATGACCATGCCATCACTCCTATTAAAAACAAACATTTGAAATTATTCTGATTGCCTCCTGAAAATTATTTTGTATACTGTATTTATAGAAAATTCATTAAAATACATCTCTAATCTAGATTCATAGTAATTTTTACTATTGCGGGCTTACTGAAATGCTTTTCTACTCAGTACTAACATGCAGTTTGATCTCTCCTTCCAGTTCTGTTATCTTTTGCTTCATGTATTTTGAGGCTCTTTCATAAGATGCATATATTTTTAGGATTGCTGTATCATCTTAACTCTTTTATCAATATATATAGTATCTTTCTTGATCCCTGGGCAATTTTTCTTTTCCTTTGAAATCTACTTTGATATTAATATAGCTACTACAGATTTCCTTTTACTAGTGTCTGCATAGAACATCTTTTTCATCTTTTTAAAAAACATATATTTATTGATTTCAGAGAGCAAGGGAGAAGGGAGAGAGAGAGATAGAAACATCAATGATGAGAAAGAATCATTGATCAGCTGAGCCTCCTGCATGCCCTCTACTGGGAATCAAGCCTGCTTGAAGGGAATTGAACCCAGGACTCTTAAGTCCGCAGGCTGACGCTCTATCCACTGAGCCAAACTGGCTAGGGCTCTTTTTTCATCTTTTACTTTTAACCTATCTATAGCATATCTAAATTGAGTACAGACAGCAATTAATTGGATAGGATTCAATTCTGATAAACTGTCTCTTAGTTGGTACACCTTGGCTGTTTATATTTGGAGTAAATACTGACATGTTTGGATTTAGACTTACCATTTTATTGCCTTTTTTCTGTTTCTTCACTTTTTTTGTGCCTTTGGTTTGGCAAACAAATTTTAGACAGATAGTATTCTTCTAAAATATTTGGTATTTACAAAGTAAAAACATACTCACAAAAGTTTCTCCTGGGTTACACACCTTCACCTTAAAAATGTCCTCCAACAGCCAGTCTATGGGTCTATCTTTGTGGAACATTAAAAAAAATCGTATGAAGTCAGTTAAGTCCTCAGATTTAAATAGCTTTCCTATGGAGAAAAAATAACCAAAGCAAGTGATTTACTGATGGAAATAGTTTATTTAATATTTATGTTTTCCTTGTCTTTGTTAGTATATTGTAAAATCCTATTTAGCAAGTTCATATTTTTAGTAAATATCAGCTAAAGAACTGTTATGACTTTAAAAAGACTTTGTAAAGTTAGTCTTAAAGAAGACTTCAGCATCACATACATGCTATGATGATATTTCTTTTTCATAAAAGAAAAAGAAATATCCTTGTTCAATGTTCCCTTGTGGTGATTAGAAAGTGAATATTCTGTCTTTCTCATAACTGACTTTGCTGAGAAAGATAAAAAGAATTTAAAATAATCAGAATAATATGTCAACAAAATTGTTTTCTCTGCAAGCTTCTCATCAGGTATTACTGTTACCTAATTTTCTTCTTATTTTAACCAAAGCTGAGCAAAAACCTTCAGGGCCTTAAGATTGGATTCCATACCACTCTATAGAAACTTTGGGAAAGAAAGAAAGTGGTCAAGTAAGTATATAAAGAACAGATGAATTTTACTAGCAACCCAAGAAATGCTTTATACTCTGCCCAACATAAAAAAAAATTTTTTTGCTGGGAAAAATCAAATGTTATCAAGCATATGGGAAAACAGGCGCTCACCTCACTGCTTATGGGCATATACACTGTTCAGCCAATGTGTGAGGCAACCTGGCAGTACTTAGAGACCCAGCTAATTTGCCCTCAGTGATCCCACTCCAGGAGGCATATATGTCACTTCATTTCTTTGTGGTGCAGAGTTGCAGATCATCAAGGTCCACCACTCTGGGAATGGATGAGCCAAATGGAGTGTTAGGTAGCACTTACCCAGCAATAAGAAGCAATGAACTAAACGAACATAAAGCAACATGCTGAGTTTTAACATCTAGTTTTGAGGACAAAAATATAAGTAACAGGGAGAGGTTCATCACTTCACCACTTATGACAATTTTAAACAGGTTACAAACATGACCACATCAAATATTTTACATGGGTATATGTATGCCTATATTATATTTTGCACATATTAGAGTGAATATCTATTGGCGGGGTGAGAGGAAGTGGGAATATGAATTGGGCATAAAACAAAAGAATAAAATAAGAGAGAGCCCCTGCCTGAGCAATGAAAACACACACCACAAAGCGAGCGTGGTACTTCAACCTGCTGCTGTCAGAGCCAAATTAAAAAAAAAAAAAAAATGGAAGGGGAAAAAAGAAAGAAAAAGGAAAAGTCCACAGAAAATTGTAAAATTAAAAAATCTCATCATGTGCACAATTTTGGGAACTTTTCTTGGTGAATATAACTCATATACTTCTTTTTTTATATATGTCACTTTTGGAATATAGGAATTATAGGAACTTCACAGTACAATAGTCCTAAGTTAAATTTTTTTTCTCTGCAACTGTTTTTTGCATGTCTTTTTCTATGTAAAATCATCTTAATCACTGAGCTAACCTAAGTGCCAGACTCACAGCAAGCATTTAACAAGAGGTAATATCTTAACATTTTTGACATAGGCATATATGTCAATCAGCTTATTTATATTTCCCATCCAGAAAAAAAAATTGGTTTAAAAATACATTTTCTGAAGGTTAGATCCTTGAATGTGATTTTACTAGTAAAGTAACTGTATTTTTGTAGAAATCATGCTATTCCTTTTCTTTTTATAACAAACTTTTTGATAAGTTCTTAAGAACTCTTAAGGTTATCATGCTAAAAAGCTGGACCCCACAAAATTGACTCATTGCTTACCTATGAATCCAAGAACTGAAAACTCAATATAAAACCAATTATTTGAAGTGATACTATGAACAAAATCTGTGATTTTTGTAAAGTACATCTTTTTAGCTATGATGTCATCTTCTAGCTGGGAGGGAAAAAAAACAAAAAGGCATTAGTATCTTTGGTGCTTCCATTGAATAATTTATATTAGCTTGAAAATTGAAAATGCTTTCAATAGACTACACTGAAAACTGTTTTTTATGAGGTAATAATTTTATTTATAGTTCAGTTCACTGAGGATATTTACTGTTAGTCAATTTTCATTTTCTGATTCTAAAACCAGAGATTATCTCTTTCTTTCCTGAATGCTGACATGTAACATTCATTCACTCTAAATTTTCTTTGGAGGATTAACAGTAAACCTCAAAATAGTTCTCAATGGGAGGATAGAAACTAGATTTTTCTTTTTAAATTAATATATTTTTATTGATTTCAGAGAGGAAGAGATAGAGAGATAGAAATATCAATGATGAGAATCCTTGATCACTGCCTCCTGCACACCTCCTACTGGAGATTTAGCCAAAACCTGGGCATGTGTCCTGACCAAAATCAAACCATGGCTTCCTAGTTCATAAGTCGACACTCAACCACCAAGTCATACCAACCAGGCTTTTTAAAAATTTAATACTTATTATGCATAATCTCCAGACTCAGCAGAAGAACGTGGAAGTCCTCAGCACTTTACCAGAGCACAAAACAGAGCTGTACACTGGCTGGATGTCATGTTTCAATTCCACTGTTGCTAACGGAATCAAGAAGGGTTTTTTATTTTCTTCCAATAAAAGAGAAGACCTTTCTTTAGGCCTTTTTCTAACTCTGTTCCTGAATGACATTCTTCAAACTCTTGTCACAACTGCACAGTGTCTCATGTAGTGAGGATACACTTACTGGTGGGAAACATAACATTACTATTTAACAATATGCAGGAACTCAGGGGGTACAAACTATAGGTCATTGATTTACTTCATAAATACAGCATAGACACTATATAACTATCCTATATAATAAAAGCTTAATATGCTAAGTGTCTGACTGTTTGACCATTCTATCACTGACCAGTGCACTGACCACCAGGGGGCAGACACTCCAACCAGTAGGTTAGCTTGCTAGTGAGGTCTGGCCAATAGGAACTGGACTAGACAGACAGGACATGCCCTGGAGCCCTCCATGGTCCCTCCCCAGCCTGGATCGTGCACCAGTAGGGTCTCTTGGCCTGGCCTGCACCCTCTCACAATCCAGGACCCTTTGGGGGATGTCAGAGAGCAGTTTGGGCCTGATCCCTTCAGGCCAGGCCGAATTCATACACTGGGCCTCTAGTCCTATATAAAGAGGGAATATGCAAATTGACTGTCACTCTGCCACAAAGATGGTGGTGCCCACAGCGAAGGTAGGGGTTTCTGAAATACAAGATGGCTGCACCCACAGCGGAGGCTGAGTTCCTGTAAAGAGCCTTGACAAACAATCAGCAAGGACCTGAGGCTGCTCCCCACCCCCTCCCCCATAGGGCTTGACTGGGAACCTCAGGCTGTTCCACGAAACCGGCAGGGCTTGATGGGGGACCATAGGCTGCACCTCCGACCCAGCAGGGCTTGACAGGGGACCTGAAGCAGCACCTCCATCCTGGCACCAAGCCAGGAAACCTGAGGCTGCATCCCCCGCCCAATGGGTTTGATGGGGGTCCTTAAGGCACGCCCTCACCCCAACCCAGGCCAGTGGACCTCAGCCTGTGCCTCTCCCCTCCGCCCACCAGGGGACTTGAGGTTGCATCCCTCCCCCCACAACTGACAGGGCTTGACAAGGGTGGGACCAGCCAAGTCTGGATATAGCCCAATGGTGGGGGCCTGGCTGGGTCTGGGTCTTGTGCGATTTTGAGGTGAGCAAGGACTTGACTCTGGCTCCCATGGTGTGCCCCAGACTCTGACAGGAGGAAGTTTTTTTTGTTTGTTTGTTTTTTAATATATTTTATTGATTTTATACAGAGAGGAAGGGAGAGAGATAGAGAGTTAGAAACATCGATGAGAGAGTCATCGATCAGCTGCCTCTTGCACACCTCCTACCGGGGATATGCCCGTAACCAAGGTACATGCCCTTGACCGGTTTCGAATCCAGGACCCTTCAGTCCCCAAGCCAATGCTCTATCCATTGAGCTAAACCGGTCCCGGCAGGAGGAAGGTTTTTATATACATTTTACTAATTTTCTTTTTTCTTTTTTTTTTAATATATTTTATTGATTTTTAACAGAGAGGAAGAGAGAAAGATAGAGAGCTAGAAACGTCGATGAGAGAGAAACATCGGCCAGCTGCCTCTTGCACACCCCCTACCGGGGATGTGCCCGCAACCAATGTACATGTCCTTGACTGGAATCGAACCTGGGACCTTTCAGTCCGCAGACCGACGCTCTACCACTGAGCCAAACCGGCTTCGGCCATTTTACTAATTTTCTTTCATCTCTGACACTTCTATTATAGAGAAAGGGCAAATAGCAATATTAAAATATTTCCCCTAATTAATCCTCTTTTAATTAATCCCAGTGCATGAATTTTATGCACTGGGCCATTAGTATTACCCATAAAATCTGAAGCTATGTAGGATAACAAGGATAAGCATATACACAGTCCAACTTATAACAAGTACTCAAATTATGTTTATTTAAAACAATAAACTTGTAGGCAGACAAATGTAGGCAGTACAATTTCTTTTTTTTTTTTTCCTAGATAAATTATTTTCATTTTGCTTCCGGTAACCATATTTTCTTCTGTTAATAGTGACCCCAGAAAGAAGACTAATATATAATCAATTTTAAGCTTCCTTGTGGTGTTTTAATATAGTGAGTATTTTCTATTTTATTATTATAAAGGAAGGTGGAGGGATACAATGAAGTAGGAAGGAATCAAGAGAAAGAGAACTTCCACTTTATATTTATATCAAGATCATACCTGTAGATAATACATGGCCTTGGGTTGGGCATACAGCATCAAAAAACAAAAATCCAAAACTTGTTTCATTCGCCAACTAAAGATAAGTAATAAAATCTGTTAATATTTGTCATTATTTAATTTTGCTTATAGGCACACTTTGGAATTAAAAACATAAAACAACTGTCTCTCAGTGTGGGACAGGGGATCAGCCCTGATTTGTAGCTTTTGCCCATTTCTGTGGTGTAAATGCTCCTGATTTCATGTTACCAGCTTATGTCACTGAATACATGAATACAGAGTTGAGAATTGATCCACATAACTCTTGCAAGTCAATAGGAGCTGGCTGCGTTTGAAATAGGATCTATTAGATGCTGATTCCAACATTTCATCAAATGAAGTTGGTTACTTAAGGCTACAGTTTTCAAAATTTCATACCTCTTTAGTGTTTGTAAATCCTCAGTTGATTGCATGGCATGTAACATGTCTGGATAAAAAAAGGCAGGTATTGAAATGACCTCTAAGGATCCAGACTTCACTTGCCTTTTGAATCTATCAATAGAAGTAAATGGAGGTTTGTAATTGAATATTTGATATATCAAAATAACAAATACTTAAGAGGAGTTTTCTTGTACATGTCCACATGATATTTTTATTAGAATTATTTCACATGTTGATGCATGATACTAATATCATAAAACTAATACTCCTTAGCCAAAGTATTTTATAAATCAGAGAGAGACATATCAAAAAATTAAAATGCATGTTCCAGGATGTATTTATCTTTCCAAAAATCTACATGCTCCCCTTGTGGCCTTTCTGCCTCCCAGGCAATTCTATTTGCCAGGAATTCCCTTCCTCCTTTTGTCTGCTTGAAGAGTATCTACTTACACACTTAGACTTAGCCCAATTGTTACCTTCTCAAGAAAGTGGTTCTTGATATTTTCAGATAATGTGAAATGCTCTCTACTCTATATGTTTTCATATTGCCCTCCCTAGACACCACAATAATAGTAGCCTCTTGTGATTTGGTTTTTTCCAGTTTCATCACCCACTGGAACATAGAGATTTGGAAGCCTGGGTCCATTCTACAACATCATGCTTGATAGTTTCATATTGGTTCATCAGTGTTTTCATCTCCTGGGCTGCATACAGCAGGAGACTATAAGCAGGAGCAGTGAAAGTAGCTTCATACAGTAAAAAGCACAAGAATGTTTTTTAAAGATAAGCCAGTAGGCTTCTCACAGAGACAATGGATTTCATGGAGAATAGATATTATAACAATAACAACATGAAAAATATGGAATTTAATAGGTAGATAACCTACATAATGGAGAAAAATTATAAGCTATACTTCATCACAGCTGAGATAGAACTATAGAGCACAGAGATACACATTAAAACGAATACGATCCTACTATATAAAAAGCCAAGGGCTGTCACGACCAAAACAACCAGACAGACGACCAAATAGCAGGCTGCATGGGGCAACAAGGCTGGCAGGGTGGTTAGTGAGGGACAACCAAACAACTGAACAACAGGCTGTGTGCGGTGACCAGGATGGCAGGGCGTTTAGTGAGGGATGACCAAATGAATGAACAGCAGGCTCCATGGAGCAGTTGGAAGTGACCAAGCCAATGGGGGGGGGCAGTTGGGGGTGACCAGGTGGCAGGGGGGCAGTTGGGGTGACCAGGCTGGCAGGGAGAGGCAGTTAGGAGTAACCAGGATGGCAGAAGGGGGCAGTTGGGGGTGACCAGGCTGGCAGGGGGGAGGGCAGTAAGGGGTGACCAGGCCAGTGGGGGAGGCAGTTGGGGGCAACCAGGCTGGCAGACAGGTGAGCAGTTAGGAGACAGCAGTCCCCGGTTGTGAGAAGGATGTCCCCAGGATCAGGCCTTAACCTGCAGTTGGACATTCCCGAGAGGTCCCAGATTGAAGAGGGTGCAGGCTGGGCTGAGGGGGACTCCCCTCCATGCATGAATTTCATGCACCGGGTCTCTAGTCACTAGTAAAATGATTGGACAGAATAAACAGGATAGCAAAATGAAAGAACAGCCAGTTAAAAATGTATCCAACAATACTTACGTTTTTCTAATCATGTCAACAACAGATTTTGAATACTCTTTGTTACTCTAAAAATGAGAAAAATATTTTAATGAAACTAAGCATGCCCCATACTTCTATTAATACATGTTTGCTACATATAAACCTAGTTTATGTGTGGAATGCCATTGTTTCCTAATCATTTCTAGTGTTTTCACTCTCTCTAAAAGAATTTAAAGTACCCATGAGACTAAAAGATCTGACTTGAATGAAAATGTCATTCTCCTTTTGTCACAATATGAAATATCACTACATGTTATTTACACTTAAAAATTTGTGGTATACAAAAGGTATGCATCTAAGCCAGTTTTGCCCTAAATGTCAGATGGCTTATTCCAAAGAATTTATTTTTTTTGAAAATATCTTCATTTTATAAGTATTATATAACAATAAGCTTACTTTGAAATTATTTCACTTTTTTCCAGACAGTATTACTCAGCTAAACTCTCAAATTTTATTCTATTGACAAAATTTGTACATCTACTCTTTATTGAGTATTGTGCTTAGATTAGATGACAGTGGTTTATTCCCTCAAATTATTTTTTTTACATAATAAATGGCATTTACAAGATGTAGCCTCAGGGTCCACAAGCAGTCTCAATATTAAATTCTGAAAATATTCTGAATAATAACCATTCCATTGTCAAATCTGAGTTCTCTAAAAGGCAATTCTGAATGTATGTAGTTACGTTGTTTGTTAAAAATATATGTCATGATGCAAATAACTCTATTATAGTACTTAAGGTTCTTAAGACAGCCATAAATTGCACCTCTATTTATTGTTACACACTGAAACATATTCTACTTTAAATATAGTGCTAAAGTTGTAATTCTTAAGCATTATATATTTCATTTAAAATTTGTCCCCCGTATTTTATTGGTCAATATGTTTTAGGCAGATGTACATTATGTCAGCAGTAAATGAACAAAGTTTGTAATATGTAATACCAAAAAGGTAACAAAACACTTCAGAGATTAAGTATATGCTATATAATATTAAGAAGTTAAATTTGGAGAAAAAGATTGTTTAATCTTTTATTTATATTTTCCCAATAGTTCTTCTGTTGTTTGTTTTGTTTAGAGTTTTTCTGCCTTCAAAGACACATTTATTATAGGAAATGCAAATAATAGAAAAAAGAATAAAGGACATCAACTTCCAACATCCAGAGATAACCATTATTATATTTTCTACTTATATGTAAATATAAACTGATATTTATATATAGTTTTTTATACAACTACTAATTTTTCAATGTAAACCATTATTTTATCATTTTGAAATTCTTGCCTGGCTATCTCCTTAGGATAACTTCCCAGAGTTGAGATTTCTGAGACAAAAGATATACACATTTTAAATCTGATACATGTTGCCAGATTCCCCTCCCAAAGGCCTTATCATGTTAATATTTATACAGTACTTACATAGCACTACAAGATAGAAAACTTTGGGGCCATTAGAGAGATGAATATTAGATATATTAATAACTAGGCAGATTACTTTCACAAACTCATTTCTTCATCTGTACAATCAGGATAGTACTACCTCCTTTGCAGGTAATTACAGATGTAATGCAGGTTCTAAATAATGTATATAAAAATTGTCTACAATTCTTCAAATATAGAAAGGAGTCCCCCAATTAGTGGTAGTTATTATTTAATATAAATTATCTCTTGATTCCTATTCTAACCTTTTACTGGGCAGGTTTTATTACTATAACATCACTTTTAATATTCTGTTTGTAAATACCATATAGTATATAAGGCCCCTCGTCACATTTTTTTTAATGTGTTTTTATTGATTTCAGAGAGGAAGGGAGAGGAGGGAAGGAAAGAGAGATAAAATATCAACGAGAGAGAGTCATCAATCTGCTGCCTCCTGCACACCCCACACTGGCATATGCCCACATCCTAGGCATGTGCCCATACTAGGAATCAAACCATGACCTCCTGGTTCATAGGTCGATGCTCCATCACTGAGCCATGCTGGCGGGGCCTAGTTACATATTTAATAATCTTATTTCTCCACATGGAAATGTGATATTTAAATGAACTTTTTAGATTGACATATTTAATTCTTTCTTGGTGGTGTAAAAAAAAAAAAAAAGTATTGCCGAAACTGGTTTGGCTCAGTGGATAGAGCGTCAGCTTGGGGACTGAAAGGTCCCAGGTTTGATTCCAGTCAAGGGCATGTACATTGGTTGCGAGCACATTCCCGGTGGAGGGTTTGCAAGAGGCAGCTGGTCGATGATACTTTCTCATCGACATTTCTAACTCTCTATCCCTCTCCCTTTCTGTAAAGAAATCAATAAAAAAAAAAAAATATATATATATATATATATTTTTTTTTAAGTATTAAATACATTGTCTGCTATCTAAAAAAGGCATCTGTGAATTGCTTTTTGAAACTTGAGGTGAAAATTTGAAATGATACAGTGATTAGCATGGAGAGTGCAAGCTGGGAGCAAGGAGCTTATCAGCCTTCATACGTACATCTGCAATAGAGATGATCATTACAGAGTCCTTCTGCTCCAAAAGTGTCATCCTGGAAATAAGTGAGGTCAGCGTTTGCTTCAGGTAACTATGATTTCGTCTCTTAACAGTGGAAATGCCAAGTGCAAAAGATACTGCAGACATCCGAGCATGGCATCACCATTTCAAACCACGGAGAAAAATATAATTTAGCATTAATATCTATGCTTTCTTCTATGTTTGGGTTAATCATGTGGTCATATAAATAGTGCTTGAAATTTTATTACAGAAGTAATCCCAACCAAAGCTGTTTGTTTTTATAATATACTAGAGGCCCGGTGCATGAATTCACGCACCAGTGAGGTCCCTCTGCCTGGCCTGCAGGATCGGCCAAAACCGACATCCCCTGAGGGGTCCCAGATTGCAAGAGGGTATAGGCCAGGCCAAGGAACCCCACCAATACAAGATCGGGGCCAATGAGGGATACAGGAGGTTTGGCCAGCTGGGAAGGGACTGTGGGAGGGCTCCAGGGCATGTCTGGCCTGTCTTGCTCAGTCCCAATTGGCTGGACCCCAGCAGCAATCTAACCAACCAGTTGCCCCCTGGTGGTCAGTGCATATCATAGCGAGCAGTTGAGCGGCTTTAGCATATCATTAGCCTATTATACTTTGGTTGAACAGACAACTGGACACTCAGCATATTAGGCTTTTATTACATAGGATTTCATTTTCTGCTTAAGGAAATTCCAATTTGCAGTGGATGGTTACAAAATGCGTTAAATAGACATCAAGACAATTTCAGTACAGTGGAAAAGAAAACTATTCACTCTCCGTTTATTATAGTGTCCTCTAACTGGGTATGAAAAGCATTGGCTGGTTCTCTACTCTTCTTCCTAAGGAGACACTACAACCCCAAATAGCAAAAATACTCTGAAATAATGTCATCTGTGAAAACAGTATATGAGGTAATTTCCAACTAATTTGATGGTATAAATCCATGTCTCTACATGACTTTTATTGCCCAATTATGGTCAAAGCACTGGCAGAATAGACCCATGCCATCCTAAATAGATACCAAGATTCTATTCTCAAAGCAGCTACAGACAGCAAGTAAGTGATAAACATTCCTATGGTCCAGCAAAACCATTCTTAAAATAGGTAGGGTCAGCCTTGGGGCTGTGGTTCGCTGACCCCCGGCACAGAGGGACACATTCATTGAAATGAATGAGGTTTGTAAGACAGGCAAGTTTCTGAGTGTTTGTCTGATGTCCCTTTTCTCCACTTCTTTATCTGGTGAGCTTGAACTTAGTCTTCAAAGTTTAGCTCAAGGGTTACTGCTGTAAAGCCTTTTAGACCCCGATCCCCATAAAGATGGAGAAATGTAGAGATAATCAGATGAGAATAGATTTATCAAACCAAGGGGAGGAAATGATTTATCAAGTACTGAGAAGATAATTAACATATCTGTATCAAACCTGAATTTAGATTCAAGTCTCAAAATATTTATCAAACTATTTTTTTTTCAGCCAGACAATATACTGATTTCTGGTTACCCAAATAAATGCCAGATAGGCTGGTTGATCTAAGTATCAAACTGAGCATCATTTCAATGGATTACATTTTAAAACTTAAAGGCATGTTCCCAAAGATCAGAATATCTGTATTTGATTTTCCCATTCTAATTTTCTTACCGCCTTTTTTCTTTTTGCTGATGATTACATTAGGATAAATTCTGTCTACTTTCTTCAGATGAGGGAGAAAGAACTTTAAGACTTCAAATGTATTGGACACTGTTTTATTCTTATCCAATGTATTCACTTCCTTCTCACCTGAAAGAGAGAAAAAATAGGGCATCTGAGTTCATGGTTTCCTTAAATATCATTTATCTTACAGCTGCAGAACCTATAGATGATGTTAAGTGAGGGCATTCGGGGAAAATGGAAAACTACAGGAACAGAGAACTGATCAGTGGTTTCCAGGTGTTAAGAGGGGGGCATGGTGGAGGGTGTGGGGGGAAGAGGGGAGTATCTGACTCCAAAAATGGAGGCATATGGCAGGACATTATATCCTGAAGAAAAGGGGAATCACTGAAGGGTGATATACAAGACAGTGCAGTCTTCACTTTGGCTACAGTGAGGATAGGTAGGTGGGGACTAGACGAGAAAAAGAGAGAGGGGGGGCGGGGAGGGGGGAATAAGAGAATGTTAGCAGACATTTAGATGAAGCACGAAGGTGGCCTGACTAGGATAGTAGAGACGGTGATGGAAAGATATGGACAGATTTGTGAGGTATATGGGATTATGAATCAATGGGGTTGCTCACTGACTGACATGGAAGTAAGTATGCAAGAGGGAGAGGCAGGAGTCAGAGATGATGCTCAGATTTCTGGCTGCATCTACTGGATGCATCATGGATGCTGGTGCAATTCACAGAGATCAAAAACACAGAAAGACCACCTTCCAGAAAGAGATGAGGGGCACTGATGTCTCTTACCTGATTTTTCCATGTCTGACAATAAACGAGCAAGAACTGATTTAATTATATTTATTGGGGAGAAATGTCCTAAAATCAGGAAGCATAAAATGTAAATTTCCAAACACAAAACATAAAACAAGCAAACTACCATGTACAAAAGCAAAAACAACACAAACCTAAGTTTACGGATGCATTTCCACTCTGTCTGTTGTCATACTTTATTTTACTGAAGGCTTCCATCAGCTGTTGGCGATTGCTTTCAGTTTTGTTTTGTAAACGTAGAAAACTTTCCTTAAACTCCAAAATATGGTTTCTGCAATTAATTAATTGATTTCCTGCATAGAAAACAAATATTTTTATGTTTATATATGTAGCAATGGTATAATTTTGATAATATATAACAAAAATATAAAATATATGCTTCTCTATAGCTATATATCTAGCACAAAATGTGTGTATATGTGTAAATAAAATGCTATATACATATGGTATATATATCGTACATAAAAGACTGAAAAAGATAATGAAATGTTAAACACAGCACTATCTGAAAGGTACATGTATCAGATTGTAATTAAGAGGAAAAAAACAATTGAGCCAGAAAATTCACTTCTATGAATTTATCTAAAGAAAATGACCAGGAATAATGTACAGCTCTAAAGATGTTCAACATGGGCAGCATTATTTATCATTGTAAGAAAATCAGAAACAACCTAAGAACCTAACAATGGAAATATGCTAAATAAATTATAAAATATCCTTTTAACAGTCTGATGGCTCTTAAATCACATATGATTGAATCTCGGTTTTGCCACTTAATATTTGTGCGGCTTGAGCAGGCTGTTTAGTTTTTGCTAGCCTCTGTTCTTCATGTGTAAATGGATATATAAGAATCCCTGCCTCAGAGTTGTTGTGAAGATGCAATTCAATAATGCATGCAGACCATGGGGCAAAGCACATTTAAAAAATGCTTTGACAGCCGAAACCGGTTTGGCTCAGCAGTAGAGCGTCGGTCTGCAGACTGAAAGGTCCCGGGTTCGATTCCGGTCAAGGGCATGTACATTGGTTGTGGGCACATCCCTGGTGTGGAGTGTGCAAGAGGCAGCTGGTCGATGTTTCTCTCTCATTGACGTTTCTAGCTCTCTCTCTCTCTCTCCCTTCCTCTCTGTAAGAAATCAATAAAATATATATATATATATTTTAAAATGCTTTGACAAATGTCTAATAATCATTTTTGGTGGACTCTTCTTTATTCATTTATCAATTGAATACCATGCAGCTATGAAAAAGAATATTTAATGTCATTAAAGTCATTGTGATGCTTATGAGGCTTCCAAACACAAGGCAAACATTTGGCTGTCTGATTTTGATGTTCAAGGGAAAGATTAGGGCTGGTATTATAGATTTGAGAGCAAAAATCTCGAGGCACTTATAACACTGAGCAAGACGATGTAGTGAAAGAATATGGCCCCACTCTTAGTTCATCCCTGTCTTGGCTCACACTAGCCTTAGCCTTGGGCAGAGAATTCAGTCTTTGAAATCCAGCAGGGAGCATTATCTAAAGAATGGACTTGCCGGCCTTGAAATTGACTTAAGAGGTTCTAAAACAGAATCATGCTTCATCAAAAGAACTGCAACTACCCCAATAAACCTTGAATATCCATATAGAGGATACTACTTGAAGATGCTCACAAGTTTAAACAGGGACGTAGTGTAACCAGTATAGCCTTGTTACTGGGGCTCCCAGGTAATATTCTCTTTGAAAAGGGAGCATGTGTTTGGAGTTGATATAACACAGGTGATGCAACATATCTGGGCCAAGGTGAGTCAGTCCCTGAGGGATCAATTTGGTAAACATGAAAAGAAAGCATATTCTCTGGAGGAAGTATTGCAGAAACAACCATACAGAGATGTAAAAGGACACAATCTCTTGGCTTAGATCTGCTTCTTGTTCATTATGACCGGGTAATTCAACTCATCAGTATTCTATTTAACATATTTATAGTACTTGCATATTCACTGAGGTACTTTGTGATGGTGGACTGTTATAAAACTATCTTTCTTGCAAAGTACTCCACATGTGCAATGGGCCGAGGTGACTTCCACCCATAAACCAGGTGAGGTCCTGAGAACCACTGACCTTCGCGTCTCACAGCGAGGGGCCAGAAGAAATAAAGAGGAGCTACCAGACGGCACAGCACAGGTCGGTGATACCAGCTCTGAGACATGTATCTCAGGCCTCACCCAGGACCTCCTGAGTCAGAAGCTTCATTTTAATGATTCACAGGAGACTGAGATTGTGTTAAAACTTAAGAAGTACTGTTAATAGACCTTTAATAGTTTCATCTTTCTCATCATTGACTTTACTATAGAGTTCAGGTCTTTATTGCCTCTAGCTGCACAATTATTAGAATTGCTTTTTAATTGGTCTCTCACCTCCAATCCACAGTTAATCTTCTGGAAACCCTGCCCAAAGACTTTAAAAGGTTCCCTAAATGCTAGCCAAATAAAATCCAAATGAATTTGCCTTAGTATACATGGTCCTGTACAATATGGCTATGAACTTTCCCACCTTATTCCATTCACTAAATACCTCCAGTAAGGAGAAAGCATGCTGAGCTATTCATTCTTTCTCCCACTGAATAGGTACCATGTGCCACTCACTGTGCTAGGTAAACAAAATATGGATAAAGTCAGGTTCCTGCTCTAAATTAACTAACAATCGGGCTTGCAAGGGATGCGGGAAAGGAGCATATATTTGAGCAACTAAGTGTAATGGAATTGTCAAAGCGGAATTATCCTCGAGGTGCACAGGCCAAGGGAGGAAAGAATAGTGAAGAGCCCTCTAGCCCTTGGATGCTGGACTCTGCTCACAAATCAGGAGCTCTCACCTCGCCAGTCCTGCTGCCGGGTATGTTGTAGGCACATAGGTACATTCCCACAAGGTCAGATATCTTGGTGATTATATATGGTCCCCTACTTGGATGGAGAGGAGGCAAGTGATCATTGTTTCTCTTGTACATTGATGATTCTCTCTCTCACCTCACTCTCTCTTTCCCTTCTCTCTAAAATTAATAAACAAATCCTCAGGTGAGGTTAAAAAAAAGTGTATTCTCAAAATCCCATTTTCTGAAGTTGAACATACGAATGATGGGAATATAAACACTTTGAGGAACCAAATTTGTTTTCTTGGTCATAACTAGAAAACACACCAAAATGGTTGTGCTTTCAAAAATACTACATATCTCAAAAAGTCTACATTTTCAATAAAAGAATGTTCATTGTATTAAAGTATCCTATGAGGTTGCCAATCTAAATTGTCTTCCAAAATTACTATCAAAAGAAGTTTACATTTTGCTTTCTAATTATGAGTAATGAGTTGGTTTTTTGTTAATAAAACAGCTCATTGTTTATTGTTCCAAAATAAATAAAAAACACATTTGGATAATGGTCTTTATTAGAAAATAAAGAGGGAAAGAGTATAAAATGTTTAAAGATTAGTAGAATAAATCGTATAAATTAATATACATTTTTAATCTTTAAACAAATGGCATACAATGTTGGTATTGTGGGAATGTGACAAAATTTAGTATTAAGGGACTAAAACATAATTTTAACATTAATCAGAGGACATAAACATTAATTAGAGGTCTAAAGCCACTTCCAAACTTTATCCTTGACTCTACTACCAAGATTACTTAGGGTGCACCCTGAATCATAAATGAATATAAAAAGAATGAAAATTTAACCTAAAACAACCCAAGGACAGTCTTGGAAGGCTGGGTTAATATGTTTGCAGAATCCCTAAGTCTTCAGTTCAAAATGTAACTGTATAAATATTAAAATGTTACATTATACACTAGAGTTGAAAGATAAAATAAAGGAAATCAAAGCTAAATTTGAATTGCAGATAAATAATAATTTAGTATCAATGTATCCCATGCAATTTTTATACTAACAAGTTACTCATTGTTTATCTGAAATTCAAATTTAACTGAGCAACCTCCATTTTTATTTGCTACATTGGGAACTCCATAGACAACAATAAATTAAAACCTTGGCTTATTTTAACGTGATAATGTGAGCCAGATTAGTCAGATTCCAAGCCAGTACTCTGAATTGTTGGTTATGTCTCTCCCTACCATCTCACCCCGTCTCAGCTTCCCAGAATATACTGAGGGAGCCCTGACCTGTGGCTCAAAAACGTCGAACACGAAAGAAGAAAGATGCTGGCTGTGTGAGTGGGGTTCTTGGAGTCAGACATTCAGGTTCCTGGAAATAACAGGGTAGGGGTGGGGCCAGCTGGGCACAGACTGGGTCCACGCAGAGGCCAGAGTCCGAGGCCCTGCGGGCCGATGGTTGCAGACCACTCACCTAGAGCACGCGCCCGGAGGTCAAAGCCACGCGGATGGAGCTGGGTGTCCGTTACAGCTCAGCCGCTGGCAGGACCAGGGCGTAGGGGCTGCATCAGTGACGCCCCTATTAGGAGAGCAGGTGACCCCGCCAGGTCCCTATGTCACCTCACCCCCTTCTCTCCGACCCAGCAATCCAGGAGCCCTAAGGCAAGGCAGGTGGCGGGAGACACCACCTTCCACTTACTGATCTGAGTCATCCTGGAGATGCAGAAACAGGAGAAGCTGAAGAGGATGACAGCGATGAGCGCCGTCAGCAAGTTCACTTGCTTGGCCCTCATGGAGATGGCCGGGCAGCGCAGTGGATGGCCGGGCAGCGCAGTTGATAGCGGGCAGCGCAGCGAAGGAGGCGCGAGCAGAGCCCACACCACCCGGATGAGGGCGAAGCAGCACGTGAGCGCCGCAGGTGCCCTTGGACGCGCGCGCCCCCGTGCGCCCTCCCCACCGTGTCCGTGGGACCCTGACACACCCGCCTCGTGGGAGCGCCCTTCCCTAAGAGAACTCTGCATGCACCCTTCGCCTCCCGAGGATGGCTCAGCGCTTAAAATCCGAAGGTTGTAGGGCTGCGGTTAAATGACTCAAATTATGGGACTGACACATGGTGAGGGCTCAGGAACTTGCTTTATCTTCCTGCAATAGTGAGTGACTTTTGTGCCAGACTCTGGGAGGATCTCAGGTTACACAGCTGCAAATGGTTCCTCAAATCTTATATTACATGGATTTCAAAAATTCCTACAGAAGATATGTATCTTTACTGTCAGATGATTTAGCCTTCCTTAAATGGGTATCATCACATGTCAAATGATTTCAATGGCTCAAATGTTCATGTGGGATATGATCCAACCCCAGACCTTTAGTTTACTCCCCTGACATTTATTTTTTATCTGTTGGAACCTGCTCCCCAGGAAAGGGGCAGGGAGTCAACTTTTTTGAAAGAAAAAATTATGTATACAATGAGCAGCAGTCCTAGGGAGATTTGCTGAGCTTTTCTAAGTTCAAGGTAGGAGTTCCTCAGACCTTCAACCAAGGCTGGGAAACACCAGGTGAGCTTCAGAAGGGCAAGGCTCTCCCTAGTCTCCTTAAACGTGATTTTTTAATTGGGTTCTCCACTCTGATTATTCTACTCCTGTGTGGAACTCACTGGTAAAAATGGATTCAACTTCAAACCAGCCTTGCACCACTGGGCTGGTTTCTGGCCCTTTGAGGAACAAAGATTCTTCGAACACAGGCCAGCCTGCCATTGTAAGCCATTTTCTCAAGAGCTAGTGGCCAGGAGTTGTGGCCTTCAGTTAAGCAATGACCCAGCCAGCTCCCCAAATAGGGAACTGGAAGACATAAATGCATCCACTTTATCCTCCTGCATCCTGTCAGACTCTTGCCAGTCTTCACTTTGGCTAAGCTTTCTGGGAAGCCAGAAAGCAAGGAAGTCCAGTTTGATGTCCTAAAGCTGTGGTCGGCAAACTGCGAGCCACATGTGGCTCTTTGGCCCCTTGAGTGTGGCTCTTCCACAAAATACCACGGCCTAGGCGAGTCTATTTTGAAGAAGTAGCATTAGAAGAAGTTTAAGTTTAAAAAATTTGGCTCTCAAAAGTAATTTCAATCTTTGTACTGTTTAAATTTGGCTCTGTTGACTAATGAGTTTTCAGACCACTCACCTAGAGCATACGAGATTGCCTCCTGGGCTATGGAACAGAGCAGAGAAAGTTGTAGGTTAGAGTGAGATGGGGGAAGGAAGCTATTCAGCACAAAGATATCTCCAAAATCAATAATGTATTGTTCTCTAACTTGAACTCCAGGTTCACATTTTCAGCTGCCTTTAAGATTCAAAAAAGCAATTTGCTCTCATACCTTAATATATCTGAAATCAGTATATCTTCGAATTGATTTTTACATTTTATAAAATTATATCTTCATCTTTTTCCAAAAAAAGGAAAAACCAAAACCTTCTAGTTAGCCAATGATCTGTCTATGAGTCAGACAAAACACACAGTATTTATTGAGCACCTACTGAGTGTCAGTCGCTGAATAGGTGCTAGAGATACATATAGTCATCTGCTGGTTATTCCTACATATCAAAGATTCAGTTGAAATGCCACTTCCTCCACAAAGCCTTCATTGGTCTCCATCCACCAAGAGATCACTACCTTCTTTGAACTCTTATAACACTCAAATCCTTTCTCAGGGCACTCAATCAGCATCATATTTAATTGTTATACACATACTTTATTTCCTTTGCCATGTGATAAACCCCTACAAAAACACTTCTTATATGATACGTTTTTTATATCACACTAGAGGCCCAGTACACGAAATTCATGCATGGGTAGGGTCCCTAGTGGCTGTGGGCCGCTGGCCAGCATCTCCTTTCCTGCAGTTGGCTGGACAGCCCTGTCCTCTGGTCAAACTCCCAGTCTAAGGGACTATTTGCATATTAGGCTTTTATTATAAAGGATTCCCCACTGCCCATTTCAGGGCATGTTATAGATCAAAGGTACTGACTGAAACACAAGACAGTGGTACAACTAAGCTATAGTCACAACCAATCACTGTACTACTACCACTGAAGCCAATAATAAATATCACTCCAGGCAGTCTAGAAGCTAGACAACAGTAGCATTCTCAAAGACCTTCAGACTTCTCTTTTGTGATTTGCACTTTCGTGTCACATTCAGACCAGGAGAAGTAGAGAATTACCAGGCTAAAGATAAATATTCGCTCAAAAAATAGAAACAGGAAGAGTGGCCTCTGGGGATACTACCAGCATCACAGCCCTTATGGCTTCTTTAGTAAACCCAGATCTAAACACTGGTCTCATAACTGTTAGTAGCACAGAGAAGTAAGCAATGAAGACAGATTTTTCTAGTCTCCTATGTAGGCAGGATCCTGAAGGAGAAAACAATCTGAAAGATAATGACTATCGATAAAATGTCGGTTGTCTTGGCCCCTATTTTTGTTTCAAATTACTTAGAAATAAGCCATTTGTACCATGTGGGTGCTATTTGTTAAGCACAATTCAGGAAAATGACAGTATCAAAATGGATTTTTATGGACCATCTATGACTGCTGTAGTAAAACTAGTATGCACAAGAATCATCTGGAAACCTTGTTAAACACAGATGACTGGGCCCATCCTCAGAGTTTCTGATTCAATAGGTTAAGGCTGGGACCTCAAATTTTGCATTTCTGACAAGCCCCAAATGATACTGATGTTGCTGGCCCAAGGAACTACACTTTGTTTTTGTTTGTCTTTATTGCTTAAAGTATTACAGATGTCTCTTTTTTTCTCTCATTGATTCCTTCCACCCTGTTCCCACCCCGGGAACTACATTTGAGAATCACTGCATGATAGCACTCCATGGAAGCATATTAGGTTATACTTAGAAAAATGCCCAAAACCATCCAAGATACTTATTTAATAAAGACACCACATCTTCTACCATCTGTGTAGGGGAATCTGTTATGTCCCCTGGGCCTTTATATTCCAGAAGTTAACAATAGGTACAAAATTTGTCTCTGATTTTTTCCATCACCATTTATCCCCCCTATACTCTCTAAATAAAATTAAAAATTCAATGAAAAAAATTTGTCTCTTATATTCATGAATGTACCAAACAGACCTGATTAGTGGGAAAAAAGGTTCTAGGATTTTCCCCCTGAATGAAAAGGCCTAGAGAAGATAAACTGAGGACGTCGCTTCCAGCAAGCAGAGCTTGCAATCTAACAACTAGATAAAAAGACACAGGAATGTGGTACAGACAAGTACTCAAACATGGAGCAACAAGGGCTAAATGTCTTTTTTATTATTATTATTGTTCTTCTCATGGTAATAGCACTTAAATTTTCCTTAGGGAAACTGTGGTACTTCAACAATTCTCTCATCTGTGCATGCTGCTTCTCATGAGTAGAGTGGACCCTGTCACCAACCACCTTATCACTCATGATAATGGAAAGTAGTGGAGGAATGTTCTGGGACTCTATAGCCAGGCTTTCAGAGGACTGGCATCTTTTACCTTCTCCTTTTTGAAGCCCAACTGCCATGCTGTCGGGAAGTCCAACCCAAATTACCGAGTGCTTAGAGACTACATGGAGAGGGACACAAGGATAAGAGGCCTTCTTGGATGTTCCAGCACCAGCAGAGCTCTAAATGAACACAGCTACTTGGGGACCCCACATAAAACTAGCAGAACTCCCTAGCTGAAGCCAGACAACCCACAGAATCACAAGAAATAAGTTACTGTTTTAAGGCACACAATTGGGAATGGTTGGTTCATGTCCTTTTTTAAAACCATTCCCTCTTTAGTTCCTCTCATATTTGAACAAAACACATTCGCCTTCAGTGGTCGGCAAACTCATTAGTCAACAAAGCTAAATATCTACAGTACAACGATCGAAATTTCTTTGGAGAGCCAAAATTTTTAAACATAAACTTCTTCTAATGCCACTTCTTCGAAATAGACTCAACCAGACTGTGGTATTTTGTGGAAGAGGCACCCTCAAGGGGCCAAAGAGCCACATGTGGCTCGTGAACTGCAGTTTGCCGACCGCTGACCGTAATGATCCAGTCAGCCCTCCATACCTTCACACTGTATTTTCAATAATGTTTCAGTTATCAGTTTTAGTATTAATTTAATAACTACTTTATAGATGGTATGGAATACACTATGTTCATGTCACGTTGGGATCTGGGGAGCCTATTTCTGCACACTGGAGTGTGGAATGCATTCTTTGGTCTAGAGAGACATATGAACCAGAGAGACATATGAACAAGGAACCAGAGAGCCTTGGCAGGGTTTGGACTTTACCCCAAGATAGAATAAATGTCAAACCCATCTGACTCCTTTAGGGACTGAAAATAGTAATCCTATATAGTTCACTGGTTTACAGGCTTGGATCTCTGTGCCCAGGAGACTATTCCAAATGTCATCATTAAATGGCTATATTTTTTTTTGGTGTTGTTATTAGCATTCAACAGTCTCTTACCACATTGGTGGAATATATCATTATTCCACCACTACCACATGACTTTGGCACCACTGTCTTCACTAAAATTACCCAAGTGGCTACTTCTAGGGAATGGCAGGGCATCAGCCTAACATTTCACTGCCCTTCTTGCACTAACTCAATCCTTGATGTGGACATCTCTGTGACCCACTATAACCCTCCCTTGGAAGTTCCTTAGGGGCTTCCCACAATTGCATCCCTCACACTGGGGCCATTCTTAATGCTTACTCACCAATATTCTCATATTGGTGACTGCCTGTGACTCTTTAAATGTTGAAACCTTGCCTCGAGGCACAGAACCAAGTTATTTCTTCACTGCCATGTATACTGCTCTCAAGTTGGCCCATTGCATTGACTTATTTACTGCCCATGGAACAAAGAGTAGGTGACTTTTTAATGGAGATTCCCCTGTACAGCAGCTCTCATGGATAAACCAAGAAATGTGTTTTATTTTAGTGGAGAGTCATGAGGTTTAGACTGTTCAGCAACAGAAGTCAACTGCAAATTAGCTCTAAAGCAGAGATGCTACCTGCTCGTGTGTGTGTGTGTGTGTGTGTGTGTATGTGTGTGTGTGTTATAACACTTCAGAGATACTGCTCAAGAAACAAATTCCATTTTATGTGAGAGTTTTGTTATGCAGCTTCCTCTTTATAACTATTTCCTTCTGATATTTTCCATATCGTATCATAGGTAGTCCGGATCTTAATATACTTTGCCATTCTTAAGTTATAGGAAACGTTTTCATGCTGGCAAACTAGCTCTCTAGCACCATCATCAGGAACTTTTTGAGTCTATACCTCCCAGTGGTAGCCACAAGGTGGCAGTATTATGGTTCGTTCAAAGCCTCCCATTTGTGTGTATTCTGGTGCCAGAAACTTCTAAAATTATGTGTGAATGTGTTCGAATGGTAGGATCTCATAAGCATACAGAAGCCACTGCTCATTATATATATTTTATAGCTTGCCAAATAATCCTTCAAAATATGGTACCTCTGACACACAACAGTGACTATATTATACAATCTTAGACCTTTTACCTGGGGTCAATAAAGATTTCTTGACCCTCAAATTGATTGCCATTTTCTCCCACAACATTAATAGTTGAATTAAAATCACTACCCTGAGTTAAATATACCTACTTACCTTCAACATCACTGGCTTTAAACTCATGCAAGGCTGGGATAAATGGAGCAGATCTGAGAGGTAAACTTAGGTGAGGTGGATGCAGAAGCTAGAGTGGGCTTCCTTCATCTCAGCATAATTAATGTGCCATCAAACCCTTTGTAGGGGTCCTGTTAATTTTCCTGCTATGCTATTCCCCTTTATCCTCTGACTTAAAAGAAACAACACCACCAATCATATAAATAGTTCTACCTGATTCGATGTTTATTTTCTTTGTTCTGGTTACCATTTCCACCCCAACCCATAGCTTAATTCTAAATAGCTTAAACTTTCATTTGTAAAGCCCATTATCAGTGGCTGTGAAGACAAGTCTGTCTTGGCATTCTGGATATTTCACCGTTCTCCCATTGAAAGAATCACACCTAAACATGAGGAGTTCCCCCTAATCAGTGCCTAACATAGTTTCAGCCAAGTGCAACACAAATCAGCATAAATTAATCAGGGCTGCCACTGTCCTTAATATTTTTAATGCTTACACAGAGGAAACCCATTTCTCAGTATAAATTCACTGCACTCCAGGCTTCACAAACTCCAAAAGGGGACATTAATATTTAACTTTGGTTCTCTGTGGATCAAGTGCTGAACACTGCAAGAAGTTGTTGATTAACAGCCATACCAATAACCTTTTCTATTAAGCAGCTTCTAAAACCAACAGTGACTTAGTTTGTTTATGCTGATAATCCAAGAAAGCAGGGACTCTTCAGTACTACTCAAAAATATTACCAAGCTCCAGTATGCTGCAGTCTTTGTTCTCCATGATAAGACCAGTTAACAGCACACAGCTTAGAGACCTAAGTAGGTCCCACCTTTTTCTTGATGCCAGAATTCTACGCTTAGGATTTAACCACCATTAAGCCAACCTACATAGAAGAAGGAAATCTGAGAATAAGAGAGAAAGAGAGAAAGTCAATCTTTCCAGAGGGACAGATCTGTCTAATTTATTTGCCAGTTAACATGCAAATTAGGCAGTCACATGCACGTGACAATTTAATGTACAGGGGCCCTGCTTCCAATAAGTGCAGTTCAATCCATTTCTTTGGTTTGGTCCAAACAGGCTAGCATTCTCTTCTTGGATAAAAGCATGATTGAAGTGGGCCATCAGGCAGCATGAAGACAAGAAGAGCTCTCTGCACTCCCTGCCTTCAGTACAGCACATTGAAAAGGCAAAAGGATTATCTCACTTTCTATTTCACAAAGGTCTTGTGAACAAATACAGAGACCCCTGAAACAGAAGTTTGTTTCTACTTAGTTTGCCAAATTGGGTGATACTTTGTCTTTCTGAATCTTCTTATCTGCAATAAAAATATTCAGTGAGGTGATCTTCACTCAAGCTCCTTTCAAGACCTAAGATTCTATGATTTTTATTATTATATGCCCAGATTTCATTACCAAGTTGACCATCAGTTGCTTCTGTGGGGTGGGGATAATGGCTTAGGCAGGCTCCAAATGTCTGTGTTTTACAATTAGTATCTTTTAAAAAATGTTGGTTGAGGTGTGGGAAAGTGTGCTTTGCTGCTTCAATTCGTGTTAAAAAGGAGGTGAAGGGGATATAAATACACTCTTAGAATATTCCTGTAGGTTCAAACCAGAAACTAATATTGGTTGTTTTCGAGCAAGGGAAATCATGGAATAAGAGTCTTGGGTGTGTGTGTGTGTGTGTGTAGGTGGGGAGTTACTTTTCAATATAAATTATCCTTTGTACTTACATTCTGTGTTTCCCTTGTTCTTTCTCCTCCAGCCACATTGACCTTCTTGATATTCCTCCAATTTACGAAGTATGTTCCTGGTTCAAGACCCTTGAACTTACCGTTCTAGTGCCTAGAGTATGCACTCATCAAGTTCACTGCCTTACTTCATCTGGACACTGCTCAAATATCTCCTGACCACCTGTATGCAAAATCTCCCTTCCCCATTACGCCTTATTTCAGGACCACCTGGCAACACATATTTGTGTTTATTTACTGTAAAACTATCTTTTGGAACCATGACTGGTACATAACAGGCAAACAACAAATGCTTAAATTAAGAGATGAGACTTTTTAAAAGCAGTACATACATTTCTTTGTCAAGAAAAACAACCAGTTAAGGAATAAATGTTTGATGAGTTATCTGTTAGGTATTTATTATTATAGTACTAAGTCCAAACTCCTTTCCTCAACATAGAGGACTGTCCTTATCTGCCACGACCAAGTTATTAAACATTTTGTTTCCTCATCCGTAAAGTGGGACCATTAGTAATTACCGCTGACCTTTGAACATGGGGTTTGGGGTCCAACATACAGTAGAAAATCCACGTAGAATTTAAGTCGGCCCTCCGTATATGTGGACGGCGGGTGGAAAATACACGGAATTAAGATTAAATGTAGGCGAAAGCGCAAGGACAGCTACCCAAGGCACACTGCTTCCTCCGCGCCCGGGGTGTAGAAGCCGCACCCGATGTCAACTTGCTCCAAAGACCGCGAGAACGGGCTCCAGGGCGGCCCCAGGTGAGACCAAGCTGCGGGGCGGGGCGGGGCGGGGCGGGGCGGGGCGGGGCGGGGCGTGCCTCCAGGTAGCCGTTGCTAGGGGAACCGTCTAGCGTCCCTTCAATCCTGGCACGCACGCGCGCGCCAAAGCCACTCTGCCAGACCTTCTTGCTGCGTTGGCAATTGGTGGAGCAACGACCAATCAGTGGAGGCCGGAGGACGGGGCGGGGCGGGGCAGGGCGGGGCGGGCAGTGTCTCGGGGAAAGGCGTTCGCGTTGCCTCGCTCCCCGACTTCCGGGTCACGGTGCTAGTGGGGAGCGCAGTGCGAGTAGCGTCGTTTCCGTTGCCGGCTGTTTGCAGTTGGGGAAACCGAGGCAGACTGCAGCTTCCCCTAGTTCATCCGCTCCCGTGAGGTGGCTGCTCTTTCTTTTCTCTCGCCCCGTGCTGCTTCCGTGCGGGGGCGCGAGCCCCGCGGTGTCCCCCAGCAGATCGGCCGGGCGCCGGGCCGGCGGGGCTTTGTGCGAGCCGTTCCCTCCCGCTCGCGGGCGGAGATGGAGCCGGGCTCCCGCGGGCTCCGGAACCGGCGCTCGGCTCAGCAGCTCCCCAGGTCTGGGGGCTCCGGCGCCGTGAGGCTTGCTCTCCCTCCGCCTGGCGGTTCTTTTGTCTCGATGAGCGCGGGCTGGACGGGTTCACGTTCACGTTACAGTTCAGCCCATCTCTGTGGAGCTCCGGGTCTGCTCTGACCTGCGGGGATTTCGAAATTGACAGTCTCACAGGCCCTGCTCTAGAGAGAATGTCTAAGCGGGAATGTCTAAGACAGGGAGGAGAGGAACGTTTTTTGTTTGTTTATTTTTAAGTAATGACTCACTTGCATTGCCCCCATCGCGCTTCATTGAGGAGAGGAAGGTTTTTTTTTATGCCATAAAGATTCCGTTTTATTGAGGGTGTAGTTCATTTCCCTCTAGTATTCAGGCCTTAACCTGTTGGAAGGAAAATCAAGAATTAGCCAGGATTTGATCAACTTAGTGTTCGGCCTGTGTACTTGAAGTTGTAAGCCATGTGTAGTGTTTTTATTTGCTGGCATCACCTGGCAGGAATAGATGCAACTGGAATCATCCACAAGGGATTAAGAAAAGTTTATTCCTTATGTAACAGTTCTGATACATGGGGTATTTTATTTAGTTGTTTAGTTGGGGGAGTTTTTTGTTCGTGAACTGTTGAGCTCCAATTCTCAAAGAATGAAAAATTAAAATAAGGAACTGAGAGCTTTAAGTAAGTAGTTTCAGTTTGACAGTTAATTTTTTTTAAAGTGATAAATTGGCCATTTGACTAGCCATCATTTAATCTAAATAGTATATATTACACCTGTCATTGTTTCCTTGGATTTCTAAAACACTTCTACTGTGGAATAGCATAATAGATGTTATAATTTGAGATTTGGTAAGTTGGATAAACTAATTTTTTTCATTTTAAAATCCAGTTTAAGGTAATTAAATGTGTCATATATTTCTTTCTCCAGGAAAAAAAAATGTTTATTTCTTTGTGGGACTTCTTCTATGGGCACTTTTTTCGATTTTGGATGAAATGGCTCTTACGACAGATGACTGGAAAGTGTGAATTGCAGCGAATTTTTGATACCTATGTAGGTGCACAAAGGACACACAGGATAGGTAATGCTATTTGAAAAAGAATAATTAAAACTAATGAAATTTACTCTGAATGAATATTTTTTTCTCAACATTCAGTGACAGATGCACTCATAGTGTGTCTTGATCAAGTCATCTAAACTCAGTTTTATAATCGTTGGAATCTGGCATTGAATCCTTTCAGCTCTAAAACTATTGCCTTGTAGAAAAAGAAAAGATTATTATTCAATTTCCCATCTATGTGAATAATTATTTTCTCTGGCTTCTGAAGTTCATTAGTTGTGCCTTAGGTTATAGTTATAATCTATATTCTAGAGAAAAATCTCTAGACTTTTATAAGCCCTTTGAAATTTTCATCCAAGTGATGAGATAGAGTATCTCTATCTAAATCCATTTTTATACTCAGCATCCTTCATCAATCGTTTAATCTCTCATGTAATTCATGGAAGGACAGTACTAGATATATAATCATCTCTAGGAATCATTATAGACTCTAAATATGCATTGCTTAGTACATACTCTAAATATGCACTGCACTAGTTAGCCAGTAGCCACAGGCGTCAATTGGGCACCTGAAATGTGATTTGAGTGGAAGTATAGACTAGGCACTTTGTTTGAAAGAATTCATATACAAAGGTTGTAAAAATATCTCCAAGGTAATTGTTCATATTTATTATATGTGGAAATACTTTGGGTATATTGGTTTAATATATTTTAGATATGTTGATTTAAACCAGTAAAATTTATTTTATCTGTTTCTTTTTTTTAAGATTTTATTGATATTTTACAGAGAAGAAGGGAGAGAGATAGAGACCTAGAAACGTCGATGAGAGAGAAACATCGACCAGCTGCCTCTTGCACATCCCAGGTGTGCCCGCAACCGAGGTACATGCCCTTGACCGGAATCGGACCCGGGACCTTTCAGTCCGCAGACCGACGCTCTACCACTGAGCCAAACCGGTTTTGGCTTATCTGTTTCTTTTATCTAATGTGGCTACTGGAGAAGATTTTAAAGTACACATGTGGCACACATTTTGGCTTGCATTATATTTCTATTGAACATTACTGCTCTAGTACCTTTTGAAGTTCATCAACTTTCAATGCATAGTTGAAAATATTACTTTAAATTAGGAGACAGATGAGTGACAAATGTGCTGGAGATCACTTCTCTTTGGCCAGGGATCAACCGCAGTTGGTGCTCACTGTGCTGAATGGCAAACCGTGACTTACCCAGGCTTTCTTTGAATTGAACAAGGGTGCTTCAACTAAGACAGTGGTCGGTAAACTTATTAGTCACCAGAGCCAAATATCAACAGTACAACGATTGAAATTTGAGAGCCGAAAACCGACTTCCGCACACCGGCCACTAAGTTTCAATCGCACTGTACGTGCGGAAGTATAGACTAGGCACTTTGTTTGAAAGAATTCATATACAAAGGTTGTAAAAATATCTCCTAGGTAATTGTTCATATTTATTATATATGGAAATACTTATAATAAAAATAAATATTTCCACATAAAAATAAGTATTTCCACAAAATACCACTGCACGTGGTATTTTGTGGAAGAGCCACACTCAAGGGGCCAACGAGCCGCATGTGGCTCTCCAGCGCAGTTTGCCGACCACTGAGCTAAGAAATCCAAGATCTGGGAAGTGGGTGTTGGTATCCAAGGCAACACTAAATGATGATAGACCTAAAGAGAGAGTAAGCCTCAGGGCAGCTGGGTGATTAAAGTTTGTTTACTTCCTGACTTTCCCCACAACTTTGTGGCTGACTTAAATTATTGCCTGCTCTTTTGATTTGCCCTTTTAACTTCTGAGAAGAACAAAGTACCTCTTGATAAGAAATCTTGGCAGCATTGGTGTTTTATAGTGTGTGTGTGTGTGTGTGTGTGTGTGTGTGTGTGTGTGTGTATGGGGAGGAGGGACATACATTAATGCTTTGTGGCAAAAGTATTTTTCTGGAATTTTTCAAATTGCTAAAAAACAAAAACAAACAAACAAACAAAAAAACTTTAAACATATGTGCCAGAAAAAATTGTTAATAAATCAATAAAAATGTTACTCATTCTTATTGAAATAGAAAACAAGAATGAAGAAGCTGTTTTGCTATTAGGTTGACCTGACCTCTTTGGCTGTGGTATATTGTGTGGGGTTGAGGATTTTGGAATCATTTAGTTGTCTATAAGGATATTGTAAGGATGAAATTTTTAAATGTTTGCTATGTTATTCAAGTAAAAATAGTATCTTCTAGAATTATGAAAGTAATGTATTATTGGCTTAATATTTATACTCTTTGACTATGGAGTAATTTACAAACAGTATTTAAGTGATAATGTCCTTTTTTTTCCATTTCAGAAAATTCCTTGATGTACTCCAAGAATAAGGTAGGATCATATCAAGGTGATAATTCCAGAAAATTTAACTGCAAGATAACTTTTTCTTTAAAAGGATGCTTCAATTTTAGAATTAATTCTTAATGTCTTACCAGAAGAGTCTTTGCTATATAAAGTATTGAGTAAAATTTTCCCACTTTAGAAGTAATTTTTAATTTTTAAAATATATCCTCTGTGTGTGTGTGTGTATGTGCTATTCATGCACAAAGAAGGTATTTGAATAATTTGTCCTGTTCTTAGGAATAATTTGTCCTGGCTTGTTTATTTTGTCTCAAACTCGATAGTTTTGGGGGAAGCAGGTCTTGGGGGAAAAACATTCTTACTCACTTGCTTGTTCGATGGGAGGAAGGATCCAGTGGACATTTATAGGTTGTATTATTTAAGAAATCTGTTTTGTATACATAGAACAAAGACCAGAGGCATATATGCTAATCTGTTACTGGTGGCTATTACTGGTGGTAAGATTACAAGATTATTTGCATTTTCTACTTTGTGTTCTTCTGCATTTAAAAATTTTCTGAATTCTGCCTTTAAAATTTTGTGCATATATTTTTATATAATTTTGAATTTTATAAAAAGTGTCTACTTCATAAGCACACTATGGTGGTTGCTCATTTGATAAGAGAACCTGTTCCTTTTCAGTTAAGGAAATCTTCCTCTGAAACATGTTACTTCTCTTTCAGTTAATTAATTGCTTGAGTGATTTAAGCCCTACTGAAAATTTGAAACAAATTTGGTTTGGGTTTGCATTTAAAATCTGCAATGTAGAGTTGACTTAATACCTCAAAATTTATTCTTTTTCAGTTGGGGATTTTTCCTAATCAGCTGTTTATCACATCTATAGGTTTTACAAAAAGCAACACTTGTTGTTCAGAGTGAAGTGGACAAGTGCATAGAAGATATAATGAGAGAAAAGAATATCAACCCTGAGAAGGATGTCAGGTATGCTGTTTGACAGGCTCTTTTTTATTATGTGCCTACATCCTGTGAGTTGTGGTGATCACACTCAGTTGGAAAGCGTTAGGGCTGAAGGGTCTGTGGAGAGCATCTGATTCCATGCTTTCAGGGGTCCAGAGAAGAGAGTGACAGAAACAGATCTAAAGCTGGTAGTTTTTGGTTCCCTGCCCAGTACTGTTGCCTATTTACCACCTGCCTTCACCATTACTTTCCCAAAGTTAAATAACTGCAGCTACTATATGTCCTTCAAAATTCAGTTGCTCTGTCCTTTTCCAGGAAGGTCCTCCCATGCCCTTCCAGTCTGTGTTAGGGCCCCTGCTCTGTCCTGTCACAGAGCTCTCCATCATAGCATAACCCATTGTACTGTAATCACTGATTTACCCTTGTTCTTCCCAAATAAATTTTAAGTTCCATAAGAGACAAACTTGACTTATTCCATTTTTTAGTTCACAGGACCAGTACTTGACTTGTAAATATTCAGCAATTTGTCCTTTAGTCAGCATTTTCTGGGTAAATATAGAGGAAGGAGCAATTTATTTTGGCTGGAACAGGGAAGGGTGCAGGAAAGAACTGTGAGGATAGTGTCTCAGAAGAGGTGACATTTGAGCTGAACCTTGTTGAATGGGTAGGGAGGACATGCCATGCAGAGGAAGAATGCCAACTGTGCACAGTGCTGTAGTATCTGGGAATGATCAGGAGTCTTTGTAGCTGGGGCATTGAACTCATGCATAATAGTGTTTGGAGGAATGGAGTGCTGGATTACATCTCGCACTGAGGGACAGATATTGTCCTCTTGGTTTCTTTTTTTTTTTTTTAAGCTAACAAATCATATTATCAGATATGTATTTTGAAGAAAATAGATGATAGAAAATTTGGGGATGTGGGAGGCTGACAGAAGGGATAAGAGAGAACAGTTAGGAAAGTTGAGTCCTTCAGGTAAGAGATGACAAAGCTATTAATACATCAGCATAAATGAATAGATGATGATTGCTGTGAGGGACATTTCAGAGACAGAAAGAATGAGGGTTGGGAATTTTAGATGTATTGATGCAGAGAGGAAAGTCGGAACTTGAAAGGTTCTAGCTTGGGAACTAATGTTTAGTGAGGTCATTAATAAGGTTAGTGACTTGTTAAGAAAAAGCATGTTTCCTCTGGGAGGACAAGCTGTTGTATATGAGAGAACTGAGATCATTTGTCCTGGACTTGTTTGTTATATATGTACTAGAGGCCAATTGCACGAAGATTCGTGCAAAAATAGGCCTTCTTTACCCTGGTTGCTGGCACCAGTTTTCCTCCAGCACCCAGGACCTGGGCCTTCGCTCTGGCCACTGCCTCCTGCCTTCCCTACGGGTCGACCACCACCATTTTTTTCTGTGTTAATTTGCATATTCCCTCCTTATTGGCTGTGAGTGCCATCTTTGTCGTGAAGTGTTGGTCAATTTGCATATTCCATCTTTATTAAATAAGATTCTTGGAAAATTTGGTCTATTGGTGATAATTTGCTATAAAGATTAGTAATGTATACGATTGCCCCGGAAAACCATGAAAAGAAGACACAGTTGCCCAGCTTGCCCTTCCTACCATGTCTTGTCCTCTTTCTAGATCCTGATTTATTATATGCTTCCTGATACTTTATATAAAGTTGTGTGTTTAAGGACACTATTGATGCCTATTGTATTAAACTGAAAGCTAGGAAATGGTTTCTAAATAGACTTATGATCCACAGGCTATGGAATACTTTATTGTGAAGGAATTATTTTTTTAATAATAATTTTGTTACTTTCAGTTTTAAAATCTGCATGAAGGCATGCTTACTGCAGATATCCGGTTACAGACAGCTCTATTTGGATGTAGAAAGTATGAGAAAAAAACCATATGATTCTGATAACCTGCAACATGAAAAGCTGCTTCTCAAGGTAAGTTTTGTTTTCTGCATTTGGAGTTAGTGAACACTGCAAAAATAAATTAGGCTTGAGCTAGTACTGTCTGTTTGCAAGTTCTCGAGGCTTGTACAGCCTTCCAGTGTTACTGCCTCTTAGAGAATTTTGTCCTGTCAGTGAAAGATTTTTAGTTAACTCTTTTTGTAATTTTCTGATCAGCATCATTAAAATATATTCAAATAAATGTTATTTTAAATGCTTTTAATTCTTAAATAGATTATAAATATATAAAGTGAAATCTGTTAGTAATTTAAAGAGGACCAGATAAAACCCAATCTAATTACTGATTTAGCTTCAGAGCCAGCAAAGTCTTGCCCTGTTTTAAAGCAGGGTCACAGGTCTTTGCATTTTATTTTGTAGCAGGATACTTTCATTAGGAGCCCCTTACTCAACAATGCCTGAAGTGGTAGTGAAACAAAAACAACAACAACACGTATTTCTGTTCTTCCGATTTTCATAAATGTATCAATTTTTTTAGTCTGTTTTGTTTGATGATGTGTGATATCAAATTTAGAAAATGATTAAGTATTTTAAGCTTTATGTTGCTATCTAATACTTGCAAGCTGTCTTATGTTATGTCATAATAGCTGCCTGATATTTTATCTCAGTCTTAAGGAATATATTCAATTAAAATCAAGTCATATTATTTTCTTTTCTTAAAGCAAAAAACCCTCCTAGACACAGATAACAGTGTGATGATTACTGGAGGGTAAGGGGCATAAGGGGAAAGAAGAGGGTTTAGGGGAGATCAGTGGAGGTGGAAGGACACTTGAGTTGGGATGGTGAACACACAGCACAACAGACAGATGCTGTATTATGGAATTGTACACCTGAACTCTATATTATTTTATTAACCAATGTCACCCCAATAAATTCAATTGAAAAAAGAAAAAGAAAAAAGAAAAACCAAGGTGGGAAAACATAGTAGTTCACATGCAACTAACTAGTAAACTGCTTCCCATTTTGGGACTAGGGTAGTTGATTAAGGAGTTCCTAATCTCATTAATTAAACAAATCATATAAATTAAAAAGTATATTGATATTAAATATTGCATCTTTGCTTTTTGTTTAAATGGTTCAGATATTCAAATCAAGTAGTTCTACTGGAAAAGTCCTAGAGTATTCAAGTTTCTATTCCTTAACTAGGAAAACCTTCAGTGAGATTATTGAGAGAATAAAATTAAGATACTGGCCATTAAGAAATAGGATTAGAGGAAAGACCATAGACAATTCCATTTAACTGAACCAAGAAAGGCCAAAGGGAAGATAGAAAAAATGAAACAGTTAACAATTATGATTGCCTAGATAAAGGTCTTAAAGTAAAAAACATGAGAGTACAGATCTGGCACTAAAAATGCTAAAGAAAAATTATTACCAATCTTTAGAAGTGATATATTAGACTTAAAGAAGAAGTCCCACAAAAAATCAAAGCTATGAACAATTTTAAAATAGTAATCATATGGGTTGGAATATTCTCTGTATTATTTCTTCATAATCCCACTGTTAGAATAGAGCCTACTTAAATATGTAGTATCAGAGAAAAGGGCCAAGTACATAACACTATTCTCATGGAAGTAGTTTATCAATTGCCCCGGCTTACCCACCAACTCGTCAGGCTCCAGTCTGCTGTCCACTTCGATTCCTCACAGCATGAAGTAGTATCAAAGCAACAGGTGGACAGGGAGGAGCTTGAGCCTGGGTTGGGCACTGCTCCCACTCATCTTGGCCCCATTATGCCTGGCACCCACTTGGGCGCTCTGACGGAGTGTCCCTGGGAGAGGGTCTTGGCACCACAGCTATGCTCACCAGCCACGAGCCAGGTGTCTGGTGCCTGGTGGTCAGTTGTCTGGTCATCCAGTCACTTAGGCTTTTATATATAAATTACTTAGTAAATAAAGACATCTCATGGTTTTAGATTTCTGTTTATGTGTTCCAAAATTTTTATATTTTTTAAGTTGGAATATACTACATTTTTAATGATAATTGAAAAGTTCTCTAAACATAATCTTTGTGAAACCTATAATTTGTCTACAAAAGTTGTTTAATTGAAAGCATTTAATATACTAGTTATATCAGCTATGAGAAGGAAAAAATCTTGGTAATTAAGAATATCACTATTATTTATAATATGGAAGCATGTTTGTACAGCTTTGGGATCTTTTAATGCCCACGAAAAAATTGAAGGCTAGAATCTCCAAGCAATGGGCTGACATTGGTTTCCAGGGTGATGATCCCAAAACGGACTTCAGAGGCATGGGCATACTTGGATTAATCAACCTTGTGTAAGTGAAAATAAACTTTCTTTTCTTCTCTAAATAAAATTACATGTAATCTCCAATTTAGTTTTCTACTATCTCTAAACTTTAATAGCTGCAGTGCTAAAAGTATTTACTAATGTGTTGACAACAATAGGAAGACATTGGAAATGTACCCGTGTATGTGTGTGTGATTTCTTTATTTACCAAAACTTTCTTCTTCTTTTCTCTTCCTGGCCTTCCTTTTGCTATCTCCTACGGAATTATTTACACTCTTTTATTACTTAAAAAAAAAAAAAAATATATATATATATATATATATATTTTTATATATATAAAGTCTTTTGTTAGTTCACTTATTTGTTAAAAAATAATCTTAAAGCTGTGGCCTGTGCTAGAGAGGCCTGATAGTTCAGAATTAAATTTTGATTGATTCAAAAGCATTCTGAGTCACTGTAATGATTTTGGGCGGAGAATGATTGGGATGATTGTGGCAGTACTAGGACTATCATTTCGATAGTAACTTTTTAAAATTGCTTCTGGACAGCTCCTCTTTGAATTACTTTTGTTAATTTCCTTATTTTTCTTAAACTTTTTTAGGTATTTCAGTGAAAATTATACCAGGCAAGCTCATCATATTCTTTCCCGTTCAAATCATCCAAAACTAGGGTAAGCCAAATGTATTAAAGAAACTGTAAGTTCTTGAATTTAAGTTGGTTAGATCATTAGATTTGAAAATATTTCGAGTTATTTATTTATTTTTTAAAGTATATTTTTATTGATTTTTTACAGACAGGAAGAGAGAGGGATAGAGAGTTAGAAACATTGATGAGAGAGAATCATCGATCAGCTGCCTCTTGCACACCTCCCAGTGGGGATCTGCCCGCAACCAAGATACATGCCCTTGACCGGAATCAAACCTCGGACCTTTCAGTCCACAGGCCAATGCTCTATCCACTGAGCCAAACCGGTTTCAGCCTTTCGAGTTATTTTTAAAAAGAGATTTTTTTAATTGATAAGAACTTTAAAGGATATTTCATGATACATTATTTTTAAAGCTGTATGTGATCATATACCAATTTTGTATGAGTTTAAATATTTTTCATTACAAGACTTAGTTTATTAATGAGGATAAGGAACCTTTATAAAGATTTTTTGAGAAATAGACTTGAAAATAGAAATAGGAAATAGATTTGAAATAGGAATATGAGAAATAGCTTTGAAATTTGTGCCATGAAATGCAAATTGAGGTCGTATTAGCTGTATCATATAATGTTATTTTATTTTTATATTCCAGTGATACCTATTTTTGAATAAACATTATAACAATATTATATCATAAAAATAAATTTCCTGATAATAAAAGAGAAAAGTCAGATTACCCCAGTGTATTTTAGAAATCAATGAGAATATACACTGAGTGGCCAGATTATTATGATCTCTGAATGCATAATAATCTGGCCACTCAGTGTGTGTGTGTGTGTGTGTGTGTGTGTGTGTGTGTGTGTGTGTGTATGAGTCCCAGGGACATGGTTGGTTGGCCTGCCTGCCTGCTGGTTGAACTCCTGGTTGAGGGGACAATTTGCATATTAGCCTTTTATTATATAGGATATACAGTGAGTGTCCAGATTATTATGCATTCAGAGATTATAATAATCTGGCCACTCAGTGTGTGTGTGTGTGTGTGTGTGTGTGTGTGTGTGTATATATATATATATATATATATATATATATATATATATATATAGTACTCCTTTTAGTTTTTAAAGGATTTTGGTTTTAGATATTCATATGACCAGAGCTTTATTTTTATTTCTATATTCAGAATATCAACAGCCTCTAAAGAACAAATTTTTATAATCTGTTCTGGTTATTTTTCTTAATATGTAGAGATTATTATAAAGTCAGTACTTTGTTAGAAATAAATCAAAGCAACTAATTCCTTGCATTTCAAATTTATTTTATGAGCTATTTGGCTAGCTAGTGTAACTAATAATGTTTCTGACATAGGTATTCTTATGCAATAGTTGGAATCAATCTGACAGAGATGGCTTATAGCTTACTGAAGAGTGAAGCTTTGAAATTTCATCTCTACAACCTTGTTCCTGGTGTACCAACAATGGAACACTTTCATCAGTTTTATTGTGAGTATTTAAAGAAGTTAGTTCTAAGGACATTTTTAAATCATTAGGAAGACATAATGAATAATTCCTCTATCATTTTGTTATTTAGGATCTTTGGAAAAATGGAAAATAATGGAAGATAAGTTCCCTGAAGTATTTTGTATTTCAATTTTTTTATTTGCTGATTAAAAATATTCAGTGAGGCAATGTTTTCACATGTATGCAAATGTAGTGTTTTTGTAGTTTTCTGTAGGTATCCATATTTTAATCAACTATAAAATGAACTTTCCCTCTTGAATACTGTTTAATGAATGCTATTGACTATTTGCAGATTATTTTGTTACTCTTGTAAGAAAATTCAATTTAAAAACATCCTCCCCCCAACGCACACACACTTATTTCAAGTCTACGTTGTCTTGTTTTGTTGGGGCTACTTAATAGATTTTCCTCAAGCAGTCATATTACCACTATTCCATTAGCTTTTATTCTGATGACATTTGAACATTGACAGTTTAATTGCATGAACTCCATCTTCAGAAGATATTTCTGAGAAGCAAAGAATTCAGATCCAGCTTAGTTTTTATGCTCTACTTTTTCTTTTTCTTTTTTCTTTTTTTTTTTTTTTTTTTAATCTTTTTATGTCTTCTTTAGAATGTCACTTACACGTTGGCAGAAAACTACTTCAGTATAAATGGCCAAATTATAATTTCAACTCTATGCTTGAAGGTTTCATCCAGGTCTCTTTTTCCACATCTCTCCATCTTTATTTAATCCTTAATTCCAGGATTGTAACTGTGTGACCCTCAAGCCTTTGTTACTAAGTCCCTGAAGTCACCTTTTCACCAGTCTTTCTGTGACGACCTCTGGTTCTTCTCTACATTGAGGATGCAGTTATTTAAACTGGAAATCTAGTCATTCTACTCCACTGCCCAAAATTTTCCAAAAGGACTCAGGACAAGGCCCTACATAATTCATGCCTGATCACCTCTCTCTTCTGCTGCACACCAACTCCCGGCAGACTAAAGTTTAAGCACACGTCCTCTGTTATTTGTACAAATATGTCATGCTCTCCCATGACTCAGGACCTTTCACCCAGCCTGGAACAGTGCCTCCTCCTTCCATGTTTCTCATAGGCATCTGGTCAATGTCAGTTTAGATGTGCCCTTCTGTGGGAAGTCTTATCAGAGACTCTGTTCCTTCAGCTATCATTTCTTTCTCCATTATTCATCTTCCCATGAACATGGGTAACTGGAACATCTCTGGCTACTGTGGACCCCAGTGCCCTCAACACCAGCATCTTGTTTGGCTCTGGTCTAGGATGAACATCAAAGTATATCTAGAGTAAAAAAGTCCTTATAGGTTCAATTTAAATAGGGTTTATGAGTGATTTTAAATTCATGCTTTTTGTTATAAATATATCTATTTTAATATTTGCATTAAATACTTTTAACATGATCAGGGTTAAATTAGCTACTATAATGAGGACAGAAAATAAAAATATTAACCCTATTTAGAGCTTATGTATTCTTTTGTTTTAATATTTTTATTAATTTCAGAGAGGAAGGGAGAGGGAGAGATAGAAACATCAATGATGAGAGAGAATCATTGATTGGCTGCCTCCTGCACGCCCCACATCAGAGATTGAGCCTGCAACCCCATGCATATACCCTAACCGAGAATTCAAACTGTGACCTCCTGGCTCATAGATGGAAGCCCAATCACTGAGCCATGCTGGGTGGGCATATAGTTTATATATTCTTTATAAAAAGAGGGGTTACTGATAATTCATTGGGAAAAGTGGAAATATCTCTGAATTTTAGAAATCAAATAGAAAACAACTTTCTTGTAATTTATCCTTGTCCAACATTTTCTTGTTACTTTCATTTTTGTGTTTCAGGGGTCTCTGGGAAAAAATCGTTTTCCTAGTCTCAAGGTATCTTTTGACAGTATTATATCTTTTAAGTTTGAGGGATTTTGTTGAAATTGCTGTTTATTTTGAACATTCTTTTAAAATGCCTCAAGTTTCTAGTAGTTTCTGATGATTTATGATTATTATAGAATGTGGAATTCAATGGATGTTTATATACTTTTAGAATGAGATAGTTTGGATGGCACTATTGAGCATTATGTGTTTTGTTTTTGTTTTTTAACTACAGGTTATCTTGTATATGAATTTGACAAGTTTTGGTTTGAAGAAAAGCCAGAAAGCATTATGTATTTCAACATATACAGAGAGAAGTTTCACGAAAAGATCAAAGGACTCTTACTGGATTGTAATGTATCACTTGCTTTAAAAATATGAATCATTCCTAGTATCTTCTATTTCTACCACATTTTGCACACACAACAGAATTTATACGTTGTAATAGAAATTATCTGATCAATTACACTACATATATATAATTTCCTACAGAAATATTTCAGAAGTTCTATTTAAGAAAGCTAGTGGACAATCAGTGTATGTTTACAGTTGTTTATACACTGTCCTCCAAAGGTACCTTATCCTTCCAAAGATCCCCTTTGTGGAGTCATAGGAACTACAGTTTGGAACTTGGGACTTAACCCATTTAGTATAAAAGTACAAATCAGGTATTTGTATTAAATTGATTGATTAAAATGTATAAATGTCAGTTTTTTCTTTTATGTGTTGTAGTTCTCAAGTTGGTATCTTTGCAAAGCTCTTAAAATGTTTTGTTTCTGAATTTGGAAATAATTGTTCTTTATTTTTTTTTTCTCTTATTTTATTTGTAGGTTAATTAGGGGGGAGAGTGGTTCTTGGTGTTTTTTTCATTTGACTCTCAGTCACATGTCAGTGTTGCTTCATTAGTAGCAACATGTCACAGAGGAGGAAGAACCTTTTTGGTTTGCCTGACTATTTACCATAATAGATAAGAGAACAACAGTATTGGTGACTAGCTTTTTTTGTTTTTAAACACCACACTTTGAAATATTGCAATGTTATTTTAAAGCTTAAAGACATTTTCTCATATTCAGTCTTCGCTTTTTGTCAGTTGTAGAAAAGAACCTTAGTTAATGCCTCGTAGAAGAACCTTTTATGGGGTTTCTCTACCCGTCTGTGTTTATGAAAAGAGATGTATTTGCTCAGAATATTTTGATTGTATTCAAAGGACAGTTGCTGTTTCAATAAAGCTGTCTTTGAACTTAAAAAGAAAACTTAAAGCTTTATAAAAATCTCAGTTAAATGTCATTTAACTTTATTTTGCTTACTGTTAATTCTTGCTTCTCTGCTTTACTCCAGTGTTTCCAGATGATGATGTATGAACTATATAGATCATATCTGAGTTAGCAATTCGTGGGATTCTAAAGTAGCCTGAGGATGATAATTGTGCATTTTGTATAGCTTTATCCTCCTAAAGTAGCAAGCGTGTTAAGGATTACATAGTGATGAGATTCTTATGGGAATAGTTTGTTCTGCATATGTTTTTGACATTAGTTCTCATAGCAGAACTAAAAGAGTTTGAAGATGGGTTCATATGATGTTAAGTTCTCCTTAAGTCCTACAGAAACCTGCCTGTTAAAGACCTAATTTAATCAAAACACGATGACAGTTGGTACATCCTTTAATATGGTCTGTTTTAAGTGTTGAAGGACTGGCTCTTATGTGGTTTATCAAGACCTGAGACTTTTAAGTGTTGTTTATGCTTATTAACAGCCCTGTCTTCAAACTTGCCAAAGAGAAGAGTGGTAAAATATTCGATTGGAAAATAACAGATGAGGTGTTGTAAGGAAACCTTTGGAGCAGTGGTCACCAACAGGTGGTCCATGAAGTCCACCACTGGCGGTCCATAAGGTCCGAAAGGTTGGCGACTGCTTGGATAGCACATTAAAATTACATGCATTAAAATTATGATAAAGTGTTGTAAAATTGCATTCATTTTAATACAATCATGGCAGTTTAGCTATTCAATATTACAGGAGTTTAAAAATTGGTTTCTTGTGAGTATCATAACTTGATTTTTTAAATGTTTTTAATGCTTTATCATCCAACTAGAATTCTAGTTGTAGCAAAATTCTGATGAGGATCAAGTGTTAACCATTAAAGTTCCTTTTATCACAGAGTTTACATGAAAAGCAATTCTGTTAGTCTTTGAATTTTCATGTTGAAAATACGTACCTTTATATTTTAATCTTCCAACAGCTGAGATCTTGAACTGATTTATATCTTTGTCAGTATCTTAATAAAAGAATGATTCAAGTATGAACGGAGAAACTTTTTAAGTAATTTAAGTTTTTCATTTCTAGGGAGAAAGAAATATTTTTCATAATATTTTTTTAAATGTCATTAGCAAGTTTTCTCAATATTATGTTCTTTAAATCCACCTCTATTTGTATAGCATAGATATTGATCTTTTTTTTTTCTTTTCTTAAACTAATCCATAAACATTTCAGATAGCTCTATATTGAGCTGGTCTAAGCCACCCACAGATTCTTAGCTTTGACAGTCTGGAAGCCAAGCTGAGTGTCACTGGTTGTAAATTAGAGTGTGGCATGTGCTTTCTGGCTTTTAGGTAAGAGCGACATAGATGAAAAGAGAAATGGGTTAATTGTGTCTGCCTTCCTCCTTTTCCTTGCTGTCCACATATGTCATATTAGAATTTTATGTTGTCTTAAAATCCATGTTGAGAACTTTCCCTGTTTCTATAATCAAAACTGAAGTAGCAGGAAAATTATGATTGTTTTAGCATGATTAAATTATAGAACTGAAGTAGCAAGAAAATTATGATTGCTTTAGCATGAGTAAAGTGAATCAATGTTGAAATGAACTGTTGTATGTGTTAGATTGAAGAAAGTGTGCCAGTGACAAGATAGTCTAAAAAAAAAAATTAAGTGGTTGTAGTTCAGATATGTTCTGAAAGACAATCTTTAAAGAATGGGAGAAATCAGGGAATATCAGTGAACCAAGACCAATCTTTTTTTGTATTAAATGTGATATAGTTAGATAGAAAAATTAGTGTCTTACTGGCACCATTTACAGTTTAAAAAACCATCCTTTTATTGAGAATGTCTATCCTGAATTTTTCTGTTTTAAGAGCTATAATACTTGAATTTGTATGTATTTTTCTGTGTGAAAACATATGTACTCTTCATTATTATTCCAGTGTTTACAGTGATTTATGTACATTTCTTTCCTTGGTGTTCAGTGAGGTAGAACTTGTTCAAAGATTTTCCCATTACATGAGTGTGAAAAGTGAACACTCGTGGCCAGAACAGGAAAGATTACATGTTTTCATGGTATAGAAGAGAGGTTTGGCAATAATGCTTGTTATCCTTTTTGAATTAGTGATACAGCTATTTCCTCAAGATAAATGGCCCACCACCTTCTCTATGAAGAAGGCTGAGGAGGCTTAATTTCCATTTTCATATTTATGAACCTCTCCACATCTGCATTTTTTTCTTCATAAAAATTAACAGAGTCGTTAATTTGGGAGGAGAAAAATCATGAGTGAACTTTTTTTTTTTTTTCTGGCTTCAGCTTTTGACAAGAGAAATTTAAAATGTAGTACAGGTAAGACCCACGTACTATAATATTATCATAAGGTGATTCTATAGTTCTGTTAAAGTATCCAACAAATATGTAAGCAGTAGCTTTCCCTGAAGGAAAAAGCTAGTTGCCAACTTAAATAGATATTTGTTTACTTTGGATAAAGCAACTAATTTGTATGTAAAAGCATTAGTTGAAATATGATGTTGTGTTTGGAATGTTGTGAGCAAATAAAAAACATGTTGAAACTATTGTAAACCTTGATGGTAATACTTCTGCTCTCTTCCCACCCTCCCAATCTCTTATTGAAGTCATTTGTGTTGCTGCAACATAAATGAAACATGGTTATTTAATCCTTTTACCATGTTTCTGTAGATAAATCAGAATACACAGAATTCTTTTTTTGTGACTTTAACTTATCTGCTGATTACCTGTTTAAGAAGTTATTGGATAAGAGCAATTTGGGCTTCCTGGCTCTTCTGCCATTCCTTGTTTTACCAACATTCACATCATAGGGGTGCCGGAAGGAGAAGAGAGAGCAAGAAATTGAAAGCCTGTTTGAAAAAAATGATAGAAAACTTCCCTAACTTGGTGAAGAAAGTAAACATACAATTCCAGGAAACACACAGGTTCCCAAACAAGATGAACCCACGCCAAGACACATCATAATTAAAATGCCAAGGGTTGAAGACAAAGAGAGAACCTTAAAACCAGCGAGAGAAAAGTGGTTTGTTACCTCCATGGGAGCTCCCATAAGATTGTCAGTTGATTTTTCAACAGAAATTTTGCAGGCCGGAAGGGATTGGCAAGAAATACTCAAAATGTTGAAAAGCAAGGTTACTCTGTCTAGCAAAGCTATCATTTAGAATCCAAGGACAGATAAAGAGCTTCCCAGACAAGAAAAAGCTAAGGGAGTTGGCTTTCATACTTGTTTTAATATCATTTATTCTTTCCCTACTTCTTTTGCACTCAGCTGAGTAGGCATGAAAAAGGTTACTACAGGTTTTAATGACAAACTTGGCTTTGCGGGAAAGAGGCCCTGAAGATTCATTTTTGTCTGAGTCTGATGCTCTGTCTAACCAAAGGTACCTCGTAGATCTAAAATTCTGTGATTCTAGGAAAGATGCTATGATTCTAATAACAGTAATGCCCAAATGGATATGTCTTAGCATAGAAGTTGTTATAGATGTCATAAAACATAGACAAAATTTTAAAACTCTACTAATAACAGGGTAAGTTTGTGCCTCTTGATTCTAAAGACCTTTGTACAGAATGTCGCTCCACCAATATTGTAGGTGAACTTCAACTCTTACATTCACTATAGACCCAAAAAAGACAAACTTTAAAAGGTATTAGCAATATTTTATTGAATATATTCACTGACAACTGGGTTAGCATATAAAAAGAAAACAGTAATTTTTTTTATAACTGCTCATTTTTAAGTATTTATAAATATAAAGGACACTTCACTCAATGTTCCTTTTTCATCAGTTTGAGTTGTAATTAAGATGTTCAAGTTTCTCATATTCAATCATAAACCACCTCCCCTCTCCACACACACACACACACACACACACACACACACACACACACACACAAAATGGTAAATCAAATGCAGTAATTTATCCAGACATTACATTTGCCAAAGTGAGTACTGAATGTCTTGCTTTCCCCTCCTTAAAAACGCAGAATAAAAGTCACAAGAAATAAAAGGTATTAGTTTTCCTTTGGAGTGGGGAGGGGGGAAATAGTTGACAATTTTCTACTCTACCAGGATTTCTTTATCTTTTTAGGTTGAA